TGATAGACCACCAGTAATTCCATTACGGAGAATGTGATAAGCTTCAACCGAATCTAAAGTCATTGGTAAATTATTTTTTAATGCATAATTTCTTAAATTGATTCTTAAACGTTGAACATCTTCATCTTTATTTGATTTTACGACATTGCAATAACAACACATTAACTGACAATTTTCTTTGGTATGTGGTTTTTCATTATCGATTCTATCCAATGTTGGTTTATTTGCATATGTAAACGCTTTACCACACATTTTGCATTTAGATGAAAGGATTAAATCGTGATAGTATTGAAAATCATCCATTGAAACATTGTTTTTGGTATCTCTTTTCGCCTTTTCATCTTGTTTCTTATATGTTTCAATTTTATAGTTCCAATACTTTTTCGTTAATTCAAAACTTGATTCTATCTCTTCCTCAGGATATTTTTCGTTAGGATTGAAGTTCTTATATGCTAACGCGTAACGAATCATTGAAGCATTCGATGATAAAGAAAGATTATGAAGCATATCAATTTTATAAACAAATGTTTCTTCGATAATTTTATCAATTGGGTCAATCATAATTTCAACATCTTTATTGCAATAATGAATAAAATATTCTAATCTATTCTTAAAATTTTTAGCATCATTGAGATATATTTGATAATCTGAATCGGATATAGTTTCTTGAGTTAATGCTGAATAAAATGAATCTTGAGTGAATGGTTCCACTTTATATAATTCATCTTCGTAATTCTCCCATGTGATGAATTGATAAGGGAAAAAGGATTTAACACGTGATTTATTGTTTCCGAAATCTTGAGTGAATTGGTCTAATGTTCCACCCGCTATATAATTTCTGATGTCAATAAATCTTAATTCATATGGAACGTTTGTTTTCTTTACTATGACTTGCTTAAATTGAGAAGAAGAACCCAGCATTGATTTTATCTTCCATTTTGCAGTATTTAAATCACGAAGAATTAAATTTAAATCAAACTTTCCCGAATTAAAACCTATGATATTCACTTTATTGAATTCCTCATCTAGAAGTTCTTTAAATGCTTCCTTTTGTTTCTCATTTAATGTATGGGACAAAGTCCCCGCCGTTTGGTCTGAAAGACCTTCAGGACTCAAAGAGTCCGTTTGCGGCTTCATTAATTCTTCATATTGTTCAATATTTGATTTAGCAACTAATGAACAGGTTGAAAATAAAAATTCAATCCAATCAGAGATGAACGAATCACTTGATGTTAAGCAAAAATTCCTCGTAAATGTTTTTTCATGGTCTACGACCTCGCCGCTTTGCGGCTTTATTTTGACAGTTGATGATACCATAAATGGTTTTAAGTAAGCGTTCAAAGTTGCACATTCAGAAAGTTGAAGTTCTTCTTTAGTCTCTAATGTTTCAAAGTCAAAAGTAATATAATATCTTGTTGGTTTATAATATTCCTGCAAATTATGTGCTAATAGCCATTGATATATCTTCTGTTTCGTGATATGTGGTGCATATGGTTGTTGTGTGTTTTGCAATTGAACGTCTTGAATTAATCTTCCATTATTTTCTTTACATTTCTCACAATGTTTTAAAAATCTTCTTTGGTTTTTCCTTTCTGGATCATCATGGATAGAATATACTTCTTCTTTGCAAAAGGGGCAAACTTTATATCCTGTGAGTGCTTCAACGTCTGTAATTCTGTCAGCGTGAAGTTTTCCACATGGACTCTGTGTTAATAAAATATTTACTGTTTCAAATTCTGGATCTATCATTATTGATTCCACTAATGGAAAGTCTACCTTGTTAATGTCTTCGTCTTCTGGTTGAGGGTCACAATAATAGAAATCAATATTAACATTTAACATTCTTGCTAACCTCTCACTTTCTGATGAAATGTCAAATCCTTCATATGCATCTATGGCTTCATTTAAATAACTTCTACGAGTTTTAGGATTAACACCATCAGGAATGTTATAGAAGCGTTTAAATAACCTTCTACCTTCGGCTCTTATTTGATTATCATTCATTTTAGCTGTTCCATTTTTGTTCATTTATGTAAGAATAAAAATTAAAAAATAAATAAAAAATAAAGTTTATTTTTTAAAGTCCGAGACTCAGAGAGTCAGGGCTAAAGTCCATAAAATGAATTAAGAACACATAAATTTTTATCATCTGCGACGTGACGAATACATTTTAATTTACTCAAGAATGCGTACCCTGATACATTAAATCTAATTCCTGTCTTATTTAATTTCACAACTTTGAAAAGGAATGTATGAATAGCTATAAAATGATGAGATGATGTTTTATGGGTTGCTTCCATTTTTTCTGAAATAAATGAATAAATATAATGCTTATAAGTTTTCATATCTTTTATATTCTTAATAACGAATGGTATAGACCTTTCCACTTCATCTTCCTTCGGTGCTGTTCTTTCATATAAAACATTATTGGTATCTTCAATAATGAAACCACAATCACATAAAATTTTATATGTACCAATTGTTTCTTTTGATATTTTATCTAACAAATCAAAAACTTTATCAACACCCGTGCATTTATTTAAATAATAATTTGTGTAAATATCATGATCTTCTTTCTTAATCGTATTAGTTGCATATGTCACATTTTTTAGTGCTTTTTTGAATTTCTCAGAATCAAGAGGAGGTGAAAGTAGGATACATGGATAATCTCCATCGTCAATAAACTGAAGCTTATGTTTATGAATAAATTTAGTACCTTCTTCTGAAAGTGTTTCGTCTATTTCACCATCTAATAAATTTTGTGTTGATTCTGAGACATAATTTTTATATCTTTCTTCATGTGATTTTTGAACTTCTGATTCTGAAGCTGGATATTCATTAAACCCTTTACTTCATTCTTCATTTATTTTTTTCAACTTCTCTTAATTCCTTAATTTTTTCATTTATTTCATCTCTTATTTTTTCCAGTCTTTCAATTTCATCGTATTCATCATCTTTAATTCGTTCTTCATAATATTCAGGGAAAACATCAGGTTCTTTAGGTTTTTCTTCTTCAGATGCGGGATATAAGAAATTTATAACATCATCTTTATTCATTTTTCCATCATAACCAAACACATTTAAAAACTCCGCGAATTTTTGACAATTTCTTAAATAATATTTATCAACTTCATAACCTGCCTCCTCTAATATATCCTTTATTTCCTCGTTTGTGAATCCCAATTTTTTAACGTTGTTAGTTTTGACACTCATTTTATACAAAATAAAAATTCTTTATCATTATATTTATACCTCATTAATGAAAATTGATGATTTAACAAAAAGAATAGAAGAGATTGAAGAAAGAATGAATCAAATAATTGATTTCATAAATTCAAATAATCATTATTTTCAATTTCTTCTTCTCGTTTATGAGGTCTTTGATTATGACTCCATTGATTCCATGAAATTAAATATTCTTTATCATTATATTTATACCTCATTAGCTTTATTTTGGCTTTCATATTCATTTAATAATTCACAAATCTTCATTTTTAAATTGAAGTTTAACCCATTCAGGATTTAAACAGTGTTTAATTAATCGCGGAATATCTGACATCATCTATATATATATAGCTTCTTTTATAAAAGATAAAAAATAAATTATTTTAAAATTAATGTTAATTTTTTAATGATTTATAAATAAATATATTTTAATGCATCGTCTATATATAGATGTAACAAAAAAAGTCACTAAACCCGCAACATATACTACTATAAAATGCACGATATTCCGACATTAGCCTCTTTAAATATAAACTACATGCATCACAATATTAGTATGTAATGGCATTAAAGCGAAATTCCTAATTTCTTCTCAATTAAATTCCTTGAAAAACATTGGAATTAATGATTGGAAATAGGTCAAAAAATTCCTAATATAAAACTTATACTTAAGATAAAATTAAAATTCGAAAATATCTATTTTTCAAAACACGCATCCAAAAGCGAAAAAATTCGAAAAAATCATGTTCTTATAAAACTCACTGATTTTGAAATTTTTATGAGATTTGAAGTGATAGAATATATTACCATCTTATTGAAACATATGCTTCATTGTTGCATTCACATAATATTAATCAGAACACTAGGAAAAGTGGATTTTCGAAAAATGACGATAATGATTATTTGCAAATCGCCTCTCAATTTTGAGAGACTTTCAATTTTTACAGTGGACCCTTAATTAGGACAAAAATTCAACACCAAAGCTCCATTGATGTAGTATTAAACGATAATGACCCAGATCAACCAGTTAATTCAATATTTCGATCATTCAATTTTATCAATGCATTAGTTTTTGCAATTTCCCGTCTGAAGGTATTCTCATTAAGATGTTTTTACTATCATCAAGTTTAGAACCACAAATATGAATTTTCATCCTCCGAAATTTATATTGAAACTGTTAACTTTTTTATATCATAATATAAGTTTTATTATTCAAGATCAACAGGATATTGTTCGTAATGATACAAAGAAATCTTATGAAGGCACCATTATTCCCAGTTTATAGGCCGCTTCGGCTTCTGCGAGCAATACATGAAGCAATGTTTAACCTTCCTTGCCCATATTGAATGAGGTTAAATAAACTTTATCTTTTGGAACCATACGTCAAACTAATAGATAATTTAAGTATATATATAACAAATTAAGAAATAAATGACTTATACCGATCGTCTGGAAGAATAAATCTAATAATTCGAATATTGAGTATTAAATTTGATAGAAATGTGGATGAAAAGAGTTCAAAAATTAAGACTCGAAACTCAACGCTTTAGATTGAAATGATATTGAAAATTTCGTTCGAATTTCAACAAAGGACTAGCCCATTAATTGGTACTATTTTTGTTAGCATATATTTCATTTATATTTTGAAAAAAATACGCGAAATATAATTATGAAAGAAAAATCTATCATATATTCGAATACATACATCACCATTATTTTAGTTAAGGATCTTTTATTCATTAATGATGATTCTAGATCATTTTTATTAAAGTCGGATGTTCTCTGATGATAATTCTGAAAACGAAATGGGAATTACATCAGATGACATTTCAGAATTAAATGAACTTGCAGGACATGACAAGAATTTTACAGAATTTCAGAATTTGCCTTCAATTCCGCAATTACATCAAAATATAATAGAAAAGCTAGAAAAACTAATCGAATCTATTCATCACTTACACGAGACAAATGATACAGAACCATTGTTAATCTGCATAGATAACGTTATTAACTTGGTCGCTTCATCAAATCGCCGAATAACCATTTTAGATAGCAAAGTAATAAACGATACAGTTGGAAGTATAATGTCAGTAATGATGATTGAAAATGATTTAATCAGAACAAAAATAGTTGAATTATTAACAAGTTTATGTGATTTATTCCAATTTTTAGTTAATAATGATAATTCTCAGCAATTTTCCTTTATATTGCAGCAACTTATTCTTTCAAATAATCAAGATTTATCAAAGAAAACTAAAAAATTCCTCCAAAAACTTTTTGAAGTACAAGATAATTCCACACAATTACTATTTATACTTTATTCATTTATTATGAGTAATGTTTCGTCAAATATTCTTGAGAATGACATAGATTTACAAATTATTCGGCAATTTGTGAATAAATTAAACGGTAGCAGCCAATACAAGATCAATATGCAGCAACTATTTATCTTTCTTGCTCCTTATTTCCGTCTATCTCCAGTAGATGGAAAAATTCCAGATGTTACTGTTTATTCTTCATGGATTCTTGCAGACATCTTCTCAAAGAATACAATAGGAACTCCTAGATTAGCTCAAGATACTCAAATCTTTGTCTTTCTTTCGAATTTTTTGAATTACGATGATCCAAGGATATTAAACCCAGTTTTGAACTCCATACAATATGTAATGTCATCATTTCCAAATGCAGAGATACTATGCACTGATATTCAGACTTCAAGACTCGTAAATTTACTTGAAATTTCTGATGTCACTAAATCTGCTGCATTATGCATTGCAGCGATCATCACAAGAGAAATTGATGAGATGTGTGATCTAAATATCAAAGAAACTCTTCTTGTTGCCTATAAAATGATTCAAGATTCAGATTCTTCAACACAAAAGAGTTTGTTGTATCTAATCAAGCTTTGTATAGATGTTATACATGCAGAAGATGCAGCAGATATATTCATTGATTCAAAACAAATCAATTTTATTTCGATAATTCATCAGTTTTGCGGAACAGGGAAATCCGATGTCGAAGCCGAAACTTTAGATGCATTTATGAGGTTGTTTGTGAAGCTCCAAAACTTAAACAAGCATCAACAACTTCTTGAAGAGTTTGTACAATCAGGATGCTTCAATCTCCTGGAAGAAATGCGCGATACAGAAAATGATGAGTTGGTCGAGATAATTGACGCAATAATTGAGTATTTAAGAGTTGATGAAGAATAATTTTTAAATAAATGTTGTATAATAAAGAATTCTTGTTTTGATAAATTGCTTTTTCAGTAAATACAATGAATTTTACCAATTTTTAATCAAAACAAACAATAAATTATTTTTTTTTTAAATTCTGATTTACATAATAAATTATAAAAATCCATAAATACGGATATATACTACTAAGAATTAATAATTCTATTACGTTTCTAAGAAATTATAATTAAATTTTGAAATTTAGAAGTTTCTGTTGCTTTATGTTAGAGTTGATTCATGATTCCATATCGTCAATTCATATTCCAATATTAAGGACTTTATTGTGATCGCCAAATTGATTTGGTTATCGAAGAGAAGAGAACATTATCATAATTAGAATTAATTATGTTTGTGGCCGATTTATTGGAATAAGAAAGCTGACAATACATGGGAGGAAGTTATCAGTGAGAGTGATACATCAGACCATGATATTATCACATTTTAATCTAACAACACCAAATGATTTGCAAAATATCAAATTCAACAACTTTAAATCGAATATTTTACAATAAATTTGAAATATTGGTCTATTGCATATTATGTGTTTATGATCAAATTCATAAAAGGTCCAATATTTCATTCAAAGAAAAAAGAATAATGACATGGTTGTTCACTAACATGAGAATAATTTTTATTGAGGCTACTATTTTCGAGTAAGAAATACACGTAAATATACAATTATGATAAATAAATTTTGAAGATTAAATTGAAATAAACCGCAAAATTGTTTGAATTTAAAATTTTTTCATTTTCACATGAGTTTCTTTACCAATTTATCTTTTACAAGAATTAGTACATTTGTATTAGAGTTGTTTTACTCAATAAGATCATATTTGTTCATAATGATATATAACAAATGGTTCTGCTATAGAAAAAACTTTCACATACAAAATTCTACAAAATTGATCTTGAATTTTCAAGTTATGGTGCACGCTCTATATTTCGAGTCTACATTCCTGATTACGTCATCGATTACCTTGAAAAAATACCAGTTCCATCTGAAAAGACTTACAAAGGATTGAAACTTTCATTTTTTTTTTGATATGATTATTTTTACTCGAGGCTGTGAAATCGATGACGAAGATTTCGACCTAATTGCTCGGCTCGCAGTTAAACTAATGCTAGAGGATCCTATGTTTCGCAATCGTATTTTTTCTTCTCCTGTAACGTTTTCCCCATTTGGCTTTATACTAGAGAAACTAATTTTGAAATACCTAATCAAGCACAATGCACCAGAAAACGTCATTTCTTTTATAAGAGACTTCTCCAAAGCTGCACAAGTTATTGATGACTTTTTCATTGATTTTTCCGATCCTATTGATTCAAGAAAGTATTGGAAAGAATTTGACTACAGCCTCTTGGATGAAGAAAATCCAATAGTAGAGTATTTAGAGAATCAAAAACAAAACAAAATCAAAACTACAATTTCATAATTCATTGACTCTTATATTAAATAATAAGAGATAAAAACTTGACAGACCTTTAACGAGAGATAAAAATATTCTTTACAAAATTCAAAATTTTTATACATTAGTGAATTTCATAACTTTACTAAGATTGCATTACACAAACAGCCTCCTTTTCTGAGTACTTGAATGAGCTCACATATGTCATTCACGTAAGTGCTATTTTAAGATATTTATTAATTTTCATCAACTTCTGCAATTTGGGTGTGAAAAACTATAGGAAATCTGTGTAGTATTTATAATACCTAATGATATTGTTTAGATAGTTCCTTTTTACGATTTTAAATTTTTAAAAGAGTTATTCATAGCCATAGAAATAGTATAGCTCAAGGACAATCAATTGCATAATCAAGCTCAAGATGTGAGTTGTAAAAATTTTTTTCGATATGTTAAATTTAAGCTGTAGGTTTTAATGTATAGCATATAATTTATTTCTTGTGCTTAGCAGCAGCCTTTTCCTTCTTAGCCTCGCGGAAAGCCTTAAGCTTATCTGTCTTCTCCTTGAAGAGATCCTTCTTGGCCTCTTCAGCCTTGATAACACGGAACTTGATTTCATTCTTAGCCTTTGGAAGAGCGAAGAGAGACTCATCGTTAACCTGCTCGGCTGTTTCGCCCTTCTTTACCTTGATAAGGCGAGATTTGTAAGCAACAAGGCGTTCAACGTTCTCCTTAACTAAGGCATCCTTAGAGTGAGCACGGCGCTGGTCAACAGCGATGCCCTGGAAACGAGCAAGAGCTGGATCGAATCCAGCAGATGTAAGTTCGGCTGGTGTGAAGCCACGGCCAAGGCGGACTTTCATGTTGTAGCGAACTGTTGGGCAGCGAACAATTGGGCGGAGTGGTCCCTCGGCTGGACGTGGGGCGATTGCTTTAGCACGAAGATTGCGAGCATTGCGGCGGCGTTGAGCACGAGCCGGGTCATCGAAGAATGTCTTTACGCGGTGGTACCAGTATTTACGAAGGTGATCGTTTGGAATTTGGTTGTTCTTAGCTACCATTTATCAAAAAGGCCAACGGTTTGGGCCATTTGTACTTTGAAGATTTTATCGAAATTAATATTATATATAGATTGACCATACATAATTTGATGATGAATCTAAAAAATTAGAACTTGAAACTAAGAAAATTTCTTTGATTTAAATCAAATTAGCATAAATCGATTAAATAGATATGGTTTTGCTCTTAAAATAGAAAAATATTATAGTATTAACTATCAGGATTCGGATTTGAGGAATCACTACTCCGATCATTTTCTCAGAAAAATTGAGAGGAAATTTTAAATAATCATTATCGTCTCCTCCTCCATAAAGGCACTTTTCCTGATCTAAATGAATGTTTCACAATTTTATATAACACTTAATATATGAATAAAATATGACATAAATATTTCTCGTATTGACGATATAGATTTTTCGGATCATTTTTCAACAACATGCTTTTTAATTTCATGATTTTCACAGAAATGGTTTATTGCTCCTCAGATTCGGATACTCTTATCATTCCTGATGGAACATCTCGCATAAATACCAGCCAATATGCTCACCGGAGCAATTTTTCAACAATTGTTTTTCCAGAAACGTTAAAGTCCATTGACGAAAATTCATTTTATAACTGTACAAGTTTACAAAGCCTTGACTTACCTCCAAACTTAGAAATTGTTTCAGGAGCTGCATTTGCACTTTGCAAAAACTTAAAAGTAGTCACATTTCATTCAAAATATACAACTATTTCATACCAATCGTTCTATCAGTGTACCAATCTTGAAACAATAACTTTTCCTACTTCGATTTCAGAAATTAATTTTTATACTTTTTACGATTGCATTAATCTAGGCCATATATCTCTTCCAAATACAATCAATAAAATTGAGAAACGTGCGTTTTTTAACTGTTCAAAGCTAACGTTTGATTCTTTACCAACATCTTTAGTTGAGATTGAACCTGATGCATTTAAATATTGCTATAGTATTGAAAGCATTGAAATACCAGAAAAACTAAACATGATTTTCTCAGGATCATTTGCATACTGTGAACATTTGAAAAGAGTAATATTTCATTCACAAATTGATGAAATTCCTAATAACCTATTTTTAAATTGTACAAGTCTTGAAACAGTTCAACTCCCTTCATCTTTGAGAGTAATTGAAACAAGCTCTTTTTGCGCCTGCATTAATCTCGGTAAAATATCACTTCCAGATACAATACAGGAAATACAAGCAAAAGCATTTTATCTTTGCCTTAAATTAACATTTGATTCACGACCAAAAGATCTTAAATATATTCGTGAAGAAGCATTTCAGGAAAGCGGTGTAACACATTTAACTTTTCCAGCATCTCTAGATTTAGTTGATATCAACAGTTTTCAATATTGCCCTCTATTAGAAAGGATAGAATTTTTAAATAAAAATACGAAAATAGATAGTACTGCATTTGCGATGTGTTACAAATTAGTTGAAATAAAACTCCCTTCAAATCTTGAAATAATTGAACCTTTCACTTTTGAGGAAGATATTTCATTGAAATCAATTATTATACCAGATACAGTTTATAAAATTGGGCAAGAAGCGTTTCGGGATTGCATTGGTTTAGTCAACATCAAACTTCCGAGTGGAATCAAAGAAATTGAATTTGCCTTATTTACAAATTGCTCTTCATTAGAAAAACTCATCTTTCCAGAAAGTGTGGAAACTATTGCTGAATATGTTTTAGAAGATTGTAAAAGTCTTAAAAGTATTGTATTTTTAGGCAAATCAACAAATATAGAAACAATCAGCTTCCTAGGATATGAATCATTAGAATCTGTTACTCTTCCAAGTGAAATAGAAATAATTGATAAACAATTTTTTGTCAATTGCATAAATTTGCGAGAGTTTAAAGTTCCAAAGAAAGTTGAACGAATTCAAGAATCAACTTTTGAAAATTGCACGAGTTTGGTAAATATAGAAATTCCCGAGTCAGTAAAATATATTGATTCTAGAGTTTTTTATAATTGCTCGAAACTCAAGAGCATAACAATTCCAAATTCAATCAAATCTGTTTCAGATTATTGTTTCTGTTCATGCGAATCTCTTGAAAAGGTTGTTATGAATGAAAATCTATTAGTGATTGGAAATTCATCATTCCAGCATTGCCATTCATTGAAAACCATGAATTTTCCAGTTTTTCTGAACTCGATCAAATCATTTGCATTTATGGATTGCTCTGGGTTAACAGAGCTTTCATTGCCAGACACTCTTACAGAAATTTGTGAAAAATCATTCTTTGGCTGCATATCATTGCAAGTTATATCGCTTCCGAAGAAATTGAATTCTTTAGGAAAATATTCATTCTCTAATTGCAGTTCATTAAGAGAAATTATTATTAATTCAGATTGTTCACTTGATCCAAACGCTTTCGATGACTCTAATAATATCGAAAAACTTATCATTAAAAATCAAAACAATGATATACATAAACAAAAGGCGCTTCATCAATTAGTTAAGTCTATCACATTTAATTCATATTTCAAAGAATATCCAACAATATCAGAGTTTGTCAATGTTGAACATGTTTCTATAATTTCAGAAATTAGTGACTCAATCATCAATGACAATTTCGTGAACTCATCAAATTTGAGCATCAACATTACAGGTAACATTCATAAGATTTCAGACAACTCATTTTCTAATAGTAATATCAACTACTTTCTATACTGTGGCAATCAAACTATCGAAGGTAAATTCTTTGCTCATAACAAACCCAAAAATCTTTCAGTTTATAGACTCTATCCATCTAAACAAATTGGCGGCATCAAAGCTAAAAGAAATGCAGATTGTCCTAACCTTCCTTATCAAAGAACAAAGCTCAAACCGATTTATATTACTTTGATTATAATATTCTGTGCTATTGTAGTTATAGCTGCTACTATTACTTTAATAAAAGTTCATATATATCGTAAGCACCAAAGGAAAATTGAAGGAAAAATGCTCTTGGAAAAATTGGTGAATGACGAGTTCGGGTGATGATTAGGTGCCAAAAGTGCTTACTCTTAAACAACCGTCGGATTTCCGGGTGAAATCGTGACACACTTTCGTCTTTCGTAGGCAGTGGTGGTTGTTACAAAAGGTAACTTCGAATGTAGCGTGAAATCTGCAAAAAAAATTCTGAAATTTGAATGGAGAACACAAAAATTGAATAGTTTACGTCAATAAAAAAGAGAAAAATGAAGCCAATGTGTCTCGAACCTAGGACTTAGAGCAGCAATCCCACTGTTTATCAAATTACACTACATGCATCTCTCACCTCAGTGAATGAGATCAACTATATGATAACTTTTTCCCCATTATATTCTTCTGGAAAAGTGACAAATAGCAACTTTGACCCTCTCTCTTCGGGTGATTTTTACAAACTCTATTATATTATTATCTGATCTTAATCTTCTTAATTTTTTTCTAATAAAATCGTTATCTTTCACATTATTATATCTTTTAATTAATCTAACAATAAAATGCAATATAGTATTTTTACTATATGACGGTATCATCCATTGGATAATTTAATGATTCTTAGAGAAAAATTGCTAAATATTTTTCGCAGTGATTGAATATCAAACATTTCAAGTGCCATCGCTATAATCAGCAAGTTGATTATTTTTTTACATTATCCTTTACCATCAGATTTTTTTTATATGAAATCACTAAATAAATTTATGAAAAAGTGACAAAAAATAAAATGGCTGCAACTCCACAGCCACAAAAAATTACTTCATCAGAATTAAAAGAGAAATATAATCAATTAGCCATTAAATATAAAAAGGCTAAGGAAGATATTGATAAATATTCTCATAATCAAAAAATTTTAGAAGATGCAGTTAAGCAAAGAGATGAAATTATAGGCCAAGCTGAACAGAAATTTAAAGAAGCTGCTTCTAAATATCAAGATGTCTATCAAAAGTATCAAAATAACGAAAAACAAATTTCGGAATTGGCTGAAAAGACTTTAAGTCAAGAAAAATCACTTGAAATAGAGTATGCTAAGAATAAGAGATTTGCACAAGAGATTTTAAAGTTAAGATCTCAATTGGAAAAGCAAAATAAAGAAAATGATGAAGCAAAAATTTCAGATAATGAAGCTATCAACGAACTAATTGCAGAATTTAATAAAGAAAGAAGAGAACTGTTGAGTAAAATTGAAGAACTTGAAAAACAACAAAGAATGAACTCTCCTGATGCCGAACAAATTTCGAAACCAAAAGATGATATTGTTGATGACTTTCTCCAGAGAATCGATGAATTAATGAGAGAAAATGAATCACTGAAAGAACAATTAGCATCAAAACCAGCACAAAGCCAAGATTTACTGGATTTTTCGTCAAACCAAAATAATTCGAATTTTAATCAAAGTTCAAATCAACAGAATTCGCAACAAAATATGTTGCTTGATTTATTTGGTGAACAACAGCCTGCAAATCAGAGCCAAAATACTGATATTCAGAGATTAAATGATAAAATTTCGCAATTAGAGAAAGAACTCGCAGAAAAAGATGACCAAATTAATGAACTCGCTAATCTTATTGAAGAAAATGATAAAAAACAAGGAACTCAGCAAAATCAAAATTTAAATCAAAATGACGAAGACGCAATTCAAAGTTTAGTAACAAAATATGAAGAAGAAATTGATGATATTAAGAAAAATAACCAGAACGAAAAAGAAAATTTAATTAATCAGATTAATGAACTTAAAAATTCCTTGAAAAACAAAGAAATCTCATCAGAAAATGATCTGAATGAGATGAAAATCATTATTGAGCAGACAAGTAAAGATTATGAAACAAAAATTCAAGATTTGATGACAAATTTGGAGGAAAATTCCCAAAAACTCAATGAAATGTCACAGAAACTTAAAGAATCTGAAGAAAAGAATCAAAAGCTCAACGAAATGTCCATGTTGCAAGCATCAAATGATGCTGAAAAAGAGAAATTTATTAAAGAAATTTCGAATTTGACAAAAGAAAACGAGAAATTGCAAACTGTTCTTAATGAAAATGAAAAGAATAGAACAGAGAATGAAAGATTGGTTGCCGAAAACCAGAAATTGAATTCTGATCTTCATGAAATTGGAGAAGTAAATAAGAATCTTCAAACCGAAATTGAGAAATTAACGGAGATAATGAAATCTGAACAAAACAACAAAGAAAATGAAATGATGTCTCTTTTATCTCAAAAGGAAGAACAAGTTCAAGCGCTTCAAGTCAAATTGAATCAAACAAATCAAGAAAAAGAAAAACAATTTGAAGATTTATCACAAAAACTTAAACAGTTAGAAGCAGAAAAACAGAAATTAAATGATGATTACGAATCAAAGATTAATGAAATCCAACAAAATGATAATGAAACATTCACAAATTATCAAAATCAAATCAAAGAAATGATGATTAATAATGAGAACTTACAAAACGAAAACAAATCTCTCCAAGAAAAGATTTCATTGAATGAAAAGAGTGACAATGAAAAAGTTTTGAGTCTTGAAGAACAGTTAAAGGAATCAAAGAATTCTATTTCATCTCTTCAAGAACAACTTAAATCATCTCAACAAACAATCGAAAATCTTGAGAAAAACATTTCAGAGAAATCTGAAACATATAATGAAAAGATCAAGTCTCTAACAGACGAACTTTCTACAATTCAAAATACGAATGAAAACTTACAAAACGAAATCAAATCTCTTCAAGAAAAGCTTTCAAATAATGAGAAAAATGACAATGAAAAGATATTGAATCTTGAAGAACAATTAAAGAATTCACAGAATGAAGTCAGAATTGGCCAAGAGAAACTTTCAAAGTTTGAAAATGAATATGACCAAATGAGATCCAAATTATCACTAATGGAAAAAGAACTTTCGACATCGCAGAAGATGAAAGAGAGTTTGCAAAAGGAAAAAGAATCTCTCCAAGAAAAGATTTCATTGAGTGAAAAGAGTGACAATGAAAAAGTTTTGAGTCTTGAAGAGCAATTAAATAATTCAAAGAATATGATCACAAATTATGAACAAAATGAGAAAGAACTTCAATCTCAATTGTCAACATTAAATGAAGAACTTTCAACATCGAAGAAGATGATTGAAACTCTTGAAGAAAAGATCTCAAACAATGAGAAGAATGGAGATGAAAAAGTTAAATCATATGAAGAACAACTTAATTCATATAGAAATACAATCAATGAACTCCAGCAAATTACACAAAGCAACGAAGAAAAAATTAAATCTCTTGAATCCCAGAATAAAGATCTCCAAGAAAAGATTTCTTTAAGTGAGAAAAGTGAAAGTGATAAAGAGAAATCATATGAAGCACAACTCAATAACTTGAAGCAGCAAGCACAAAATCATATTTCTTCGCTTAATCAACAAATCGAATCTTTGAAACAAGAAATTTCAAGTATTCAGCAAAATGATAACGAAACATTCACAAATTATCAAAATCAAATCAAAGAAATGATGATTAATAATGAGAACTTACAAAATGAAGTTCAATCTCTCCAAGAAAAGATTTCATTAAATGAAAAAAGTGACAATGAAAAAGTTTTGAGTCTCGAAGAGCAATTAAATAATTCAAAGAATATGATCACAAATTATGAACAAAATGAGAAAGAACTTCAATCTCAATTGTCAACATTAAATGAAGAACTTTCCACATCGAAGAAGATGATTGAAACTCTTGAAGAAAAGATCTCAAACAATGAAAAGAGTGACAATGAAAAAGTTTTGAGTCTTGAAGAACAGTTAAAGGAATCAAAAAATTCTATTTCATCTCTTCAAGAACAACTTAAATCATCTCAACAAACAATTGAAAATCTTGAGAAAAACATTTCAGAGAAATCTGAAACATATAATGAAAAGATCAAGTCTCTAACAGACGAACTTTCCACAATTCAAAATAAGAATGAGAATTTACAAAACGAAATCAAATCTCTTCAAGAAAAGCTTTCAAATAATGAGAAAAATGACAATGAAAAAGTTAAATTATATGAAGAACAACTTAATTCTCTGAAGAAAGAGAATGACAATCTTAAACAAGAGATGTCTGATATTCAGAAAAGTGATAATGAGACATTTGAAAATTACCAAAATCAGATCAAAGAAATGATGCAGAATTTGGAAGAAGCCGAAAATAAAGTTTCAACACTCCAAGAACAAATTTCAATGAATGAAAAGAGTGATAGTGAAAAAGTTACTTCTTATGAAGCAAAGATCGCTCAAATGCATCAAGAAAAGAAAGAACTTGAAAAGAAATTCACGGCAGCCAAACAAATTGTTTCAAACAACAGACAAGAAAAGAAAGAAATGGAAGAAAAGATAAATTCATTGACAAAACAGGTTTCAGATAAAGATGAAGAGTTACAGAAATCTAAAGAAGAAATTGAATCATTAAATCATAAGGTCACATCAAATGAAGCTGAAAAGCAAAAAGTTGCTGAAGATCTCCAACAAAAATTGTCTGAAATTGAATCATTGAAACAAAAATTGACTGAAAAAGAAAATGATGTTCAAAAAGTAACAGAACAAAACAAATCCATCGAAGACCTCAAGCAACAAATATCAGAGAAAGAGAAAGTAATTACTGATAATCAGAAAACAATAGAAAATCTTTCATTCGAGTTAACAGAACTCAAACAAAAGAAGGATGACTCGGAAAAAGATAAAGAAATAATCCAAAATTTGACAAAAGATTTAGAAAAAATGAAGGCAGATTTGGACTCCAAACAAAAGGAAAATGATGAAATTAGATCTAGATTGAACAGAGAAATCGAAGACAATAAGCAGGCATTGGCGAAAGCTGTTGAAACTGCTAAAATTTTATCAGAAGAAAACGAAAAATTGACAAAACAAATGGAACAAGTTTCTTCTTCAGAAACTGAAAAGTGCCAAGTTTTATCCTCTAAAATATCTACTTTAGAAAGTCGTTTACAGAGTTCTGAAACAAGAGCAACCTCTGTTTTGGAAGATAGAAATCGTTTATCATCAGAATTATTAAGAACAATGAGTGAACTCAAAGAATCTAAAAACGAAAAGGATAAAATAACTCAAGAGTTCAATGATAAGATTAAAGAGCTCGAGAGCAATTCTAGAGAACAGACTGCAAACTACGAAGGAAAAATCAAACTTTTGGAGTCAGAAAAATCTTCTTTGGAAACTAAAATCAATGAAGATCAATTGAAGATTTCCAATTTGGAGAAAAACGTTCAGAATCTTTCAAACAAGAATTCTGTTTCTGATAATGAAGTATCTAAACTGAAGGAAGACAACAGTAAACTCAAGAATCAGATTTCAAACTTCGAAGTAGAAATCATGCAAATCAAAGAATCAAATGATTTGTTGACATCTCAAAACGAGAAATTAAGAGAGAGTAAGAATAAATTGCAGCAAAATGTTAATGATTTAGAAGCAACAAAGAAGGATTTGACTCAAAAAATGGCTCAAATGAAATGTGACAGTAGAGAAAACGAAATTAATTCTTTACTTGAAACAAAGAAATCTCTTGAAGAAAAAATTTCTGTTCTTCAAAACCAAATTGCAACGATTTTAAAGGATAAAAGTGATTTAGCTGAACAAATTGAGCTCAAAGAAATAGACATCAAAGACCAGATGCTCAAATACAAAGAGCAAATGAGCCAAAATGATAATGTCGTTTTCGAAATGAGAAAAGAAAAAATTGAGTTAGAAAATCAAATCAAAGAAATTAAATACCAAAATGAGTTGAATGTCAGTAAAATGAACCAAGAAAAAGAAGAATTAACTAAATCTTATGAAGAAAAGATCCTTTTGTACGCAAAGAAAGTTCAACAATTATCAAGAAAACTTCAAAAAGTTTCTGAAAATCAATCCCCACAAAAACCAAAGCCAGCCGAAACTCAGCAGCAAAATGATAAAAGTTTAATGCCAGAATACATCCAAAAAGTACTTCTTCAGTTCTTTATTCAAGACGGATCAACTCGTGAAAGTATGATTCCAGTCATTTTAACTCTTGTCGGATGTGATCAGCAAGCAATTAACCAAGCTATTAGATCTTGGAAAGATTCACAACAAGGACCTTCAAAGGCCTTTGGACTCTTTAAATTCTAAATTATTTATAATTATTTTTCTTTATAATTGTAATTCTTTTAAATATCTATATATAAACAAAAATTATTAAATGCAATCACATTTATCTCTTTATAAACACAAATTTGAATTTATATTTAACAAATTGTTAAATGCTCATTCTGTAATTTTCATGCCATAAGTTCACTATTTCATGATTATCATACTTGTAATGATTGATTTCATTTTTATTTTTGAATGGAAGATCCATTTGCTTTCTGGCAATTTGATATCAATGAAGACGATGACGATGACGATGAAGCTTACCAACCAGATGATAACAGTAATGATGATGAAGATGATGATAATGTCGATGCACCAAACGAAAATTTACAAAATAAACCAACCTTCGACTTAAATCAAGTTATTTTAAGATTTAATATGCCACACACGCTTGTACCAAATCAACTTTTTATTGCTTCTCTTCCTAAAAAAGAAGATATTCCAAATTCTCCATTTACTGTTGAACAATGGGATCTTCTTCGTCATCAATGCCGTATACATTTTGCACTTTTATGCAGATCTATAAGTTTCACAGCTTATTGCGCTTCTTCAGATGCAATTGTTACAGGATTATTAGCTTTATTACATTCTTACAACATAATATTTAAATCATCCATCGAAACTACTGCAAACCTTAATAATCTTTTCGGAGAAACTCTTTTTGTTCCAGTTTTAGGTGATCCAAGGTATTCTTTGATTTCTCGAACTGATTTCATTATAGATACATTTCTTAGGGGTAAAAATGTCGATGATTTGATGGAATTCCCATTCTTTACAGAAATATTTAAAGCATTTCCAACAAAAGGCATAGATAAGCCTCTTTATCTTGCCTGCCACTCGCCATGGACAAAAGAAGAAGATGAATTACTAGAAGTAGCTCATAAACGATTCGAAAGTCCAATTGACATACAAAGATTTGTTATGCCTGGAAGATCTCTTCAAATGATCACTCAGCACCTCAAAGGAGAATGGAAACAACCAGAGGAGATCCAGGATAATGTCAATACACGCAGACAAGAACCAGAAACAGAAACTACAACTACAACAGAAGATGAACAACATGCTGCATCTGATCAGACAGAAGAAGATGAAGATGATGACCAGCCATTCATTATTAATGAGAATATGAGATTTGCTGATGGAACTCTGCCAGAAGATCCATCAAAGAACTTGTTGTTGCCGAGATTTCCTTAATTTGAATAAAATTTTGTTTGAATTTATTACTAATGCATAAGATAACTTTTTAGTTTCTTTTTGAAAGATCAATAAAATTTGCTTTTATGCTTCCAAGATCAGAGAAATTTGAATAGTAGCATTCTAAGCATACACAATATCTTCATTATTCTCTCATAATTTTCATGAATAAATTTGATATTCTAATCAAATTTGTCCCTCATTATGAAATCACATCTAGATTTTCAGTTGTGAACCATTATATGGAGTTAAATGTTAGATATATGCATTACTTTAACACTTGAGACCAATTTTAAGAAAATTTATTAATAGAATACTAAAAATAAGAAGAGTAGAATATGGTATGATATCATTATAGATATATTGAAGCTATTTACAAATCAAGTCATAAATTGCATTAACTATCTCAGAGGATTCTGAAATATCTCATTTCTTCATGAATTGATATGATAATCACCATGTGTACGTTGTTTTTAGTGTCATATAATATCCAAAATCGCTCAAATTTAGATATCTTGTGCTAGATTTCAAAATGTGACCGTTTAGAAATTTCAAAATCTCAGAAATGAGTTCTTTATATGAGCTTCAAGAAACAAACAATAGACAAAAGTTGCTCATCCAATTGTTAAATGAAGCAATACTATCACCTTCTCGTAAGCAATCGCTGAAAAAACAAATTGAAGCAGCTGAAGATCAATTTATTCCGATAAATAATAAAATTCAAGAAATACAATCCGGATTAAATAACATGAAATACGACAATTTAAATAAAATGCGTGAAGAATTAAATCAAAAGATACAAGAGAAAACTAATGAAATTGCAAAACTTAAAAAGAATGTTGCTGAATATCAAGATATATGTATGGGATATGATCAACATCAAGAACAACTTCAACAAGAAAAAGATAAACTATTCAACGATTTTCAAAACCAGCCAAAAGATAACTCAATTTCTATATCCCAAACACCTCAAAAGCAATTTTCTTCTCTACTTTCCAGTCCAGTTAAAGAGGATCCTGAAGAATTACAGAAGCAAATCACTGAAGCTGATGCAAAAATTGAAGAACTCACAGCAGAATATGATTCGTTAAAGAAGATTCTCGAAGAAAAGCAAAAGAAATATAATGATCTTCTTACCGCATTTTGATAATAGTGTATACTTCATTTGCTCTGATTTTAAGGTGTTTTCATATGATTTTTGTTTGTTATTGTATTAAAAATGTGATTATTAATTTAAGAAAGTTGGAGTATTGTTGAATTTCGTGATTTCCTGAAATCTTTTTCAGACGTTTTTACAATTTGGGCGAAATACGGGCCACAATTCCTCAAACATTAATTATTTTATCCTCAAATTGTTTAGAAATGCCAAAAATAAATTTGTGATTTATTTGATGAGACTATATGACTCTGCAGTTCTGTATCTGCAAGAGAAATGGAATATAATGCTTAACAACTTATCACTGCAAAATTCTTTTTGTCTTTTGCAAAAGTTTTGATTGGGTGCTAAAATCTGGCACTTTTTGAGATTTTGAAAAAAATGAGTGATGAAGACACTGAAATTTCTGAGCGTATTTCAAATGCGCGCCAGAAGCAACAGCGTCGTTATATAAATTTTGTTGATGCTAAATATGAGTACAAGCAAAATTTAGGTGATTTGTTTGCTTTTCAAGAAATTGGAGAGAATTGTAGTATCATCAGAGGATTTAAGAGCGGATCTATTGGTGGAAAGCAAAGTACATTATATGATCCTAAGAAATTAGCCGGAATTAAATCATGGACAGGCGGATTTTTCCCATTATCTGGTCTTAAGGTCGAAGGTAATCAAGGATTTGCCGTAAGTGTCATCTATGCACTCAGTTCATGCCCAAGTTTCAGACAATTTGCTGATATTCACAAGACTACATGCCATCGAATTGGATGTTCCCTTTGCCAAGTTCTTCAATTTTACCAAGCCTCAGAAACACGCAAACTGACCAAATTCCCACTAGAAATCAAAGTTTTCGATCACAAATACCGTCCTGGAGATAAAGGCGACAGTGCTGTCTTTTTATCTGGATTTTTGGACATTCTTCAGCAAGAAGAACTATCAAGTGCCCGTGCATTTGGTAAAACAGACCAGTATACATCAGCAATTGGCCAAATTTTCAGAATTGAAGCAATAAATAAAATTCATTGCACAAAATGCGGTCGAATCCGTCAAACTAAGGAGAGTTATTGGACACTTTGCGCAAACAAACCTTTAGAAGACGAAATTGATCAAGAATTCAAGACAGAAATTACAGATTCAGTTTGTGACGCATGTAACGGTCCAATTTATTCAACTCAAGAGATGAAAACACTTCCATTAGTATTTACAGTCCAGTTCCCACATTGGACTGCCAAAGGAGACTTCAGAAAACGAAATATCGATATGAGCAAATATCTTTCCATCGAAATCAACGACAGGAAGTACAAACTCGTTGCATTTACAGCTTACGAAGGCTTCAGTGCTAACGATGGCCGCTTCTCTACCGTTTTTCAGTCACAATCTGGAGTTTGGAACCATCATTCGAACGGACAAGTCCAAGTTATCTCTGTTAAGATGCTGGATAAGTTCCAACCACAGCTTACCTTCTTTTCCGTTGATGAACCTAATGAAATTGACGCAACATCAGAATTTGTTAAAATTAATAACGACGAAGATGAAAATGATGTTGATATCGATAACCTCGAGCAACAAGAATCACAGCCTGAAGTCAAATACTCAATTTACGACGCAATGGCCGAGATTAAACAAGATATTCAAAAAGAACAAACTCAGAGCCAGCTTTACAGGCCAAAACAACAACCAGTTGAATCTAAAGAGGATAATGAAGACCAGGAAGAGCCAATTCAAGAAATTAAAGAAGAAAAAGCGAAAATTGTTCGAAATCCGCTCCAAATGCTTCTGAAGAAATCTGTTCATAGCACAGGTACTTGGGATGACGGAAATACACCTGAGAGAGATGTTGGACCTGGATTTGTCGAAGAAAAACCAGATGAATGGGATGCAGAACTTGATAAAGGCCACCAAAGGAAGATCAGGACAAAAAGAGAGATACCGGAACAGAATCCGTTCGAAAATGCTCCAGAAAGAAGGAGAAGACCAGGTGATACTGGATTTAAGGGAAGAGATGGAAGATCTGGTAACTTTTCACGCGGAAGAGATAGAGATAATAGAAGAGGTGGATTCAGAGGAAGAAGATAATCATTTTTTATTAATTATTTTTTTATATGTAATTATTTTATAAATTTATAGAGTTTTCTTTTACAAAACAATAGATTTTTAATATCAGTTATCATATTTGATCAACATTCATACAATTTTAAATTTTATCAATTCGCATTTTAAAAATCGCTGAAAGCACTCCAACTATATCCATTTCTACTTTTGATGTTGCAAATAATCCAATTATATCATTTTCTATTGAATTCTGAGAGTTAGTGATTGAGATAAATCATATTAATGTTGCAAACACTCCAACTATATCTTTTTCTATTGAGTACCGAGAGTTAGCAAATGAGATCATTATATGCAGTTATTGAATAAAATATATGATAATGCCTTGAGCGAGTATGGTCGTTTAAAATTAATCACACATCACTAGTTACATTCTTTCTCTTGTCAACTTAACTTTGTATTGAATTTATTTGGATTTTGAATTCATAATTTTTTGTGGTCCCTTAATTTCCTGATTTCATATAGATAGATTAATTTCTGTTTCAGTGCAAATATATTCATTATATGCTTTGGTACAAATTGATGCATATCACCATAATAAGAATTCATTTAAGAAGATTGGGAAAAAGCACTTAAACAAACTAATCTCAAAATTGAAAAAGAAATGATTTAAATCACGAATAATTGTTTACAAATCTTGAATTTCATTTTCAAATGAAGAAGGTTGGTAATGTGTGAATTCGTGATCATCATAGAACATCGCATAAGGTGGTATATATGCCACTAAGTTAGCAAGAAAATAAACACCTCGAAAAACAATTAAAAGTAAAATACAAAAACAAAAGAAAAAGAAAGTAAAAGCGAAAGTTCTTAAGTAGAAATTCCAACTTAAGTTAAGCAAAAATGTCAAAACAATATTAGTAAGAAGTGCCAAAAAAGGTAACAAAAGAGAACAAACAGGAACAAGTAAAGTTGAAAGAGATCCAAAAAGAGTCCACAAAAATTCAATCGCATTATGACAAAATGGAACTAATTTGAAGACAGGAAAAACAAATAAATACATAAAAAGTGAAAAATACCAAATAGAGATATAAATCATATCAAATACTGATGAATCCTTGTATACAAATATGTATGCAATATGAATAAGTATATCCGACTTCTTTGTGATACTGAAAATAAAAATTTTCACTGTAACTAACAAAGGAATGAATAAGAACGAAATACAAAAGAATACAAAGTTAATATATTCTGTAATTGTTGATATCTTCTTATTTAATTTGACTAATTTGCAATGAATCGCATAAATCTGATTAAAAGCTAAAATCATGAACATAATTGCAAACCGAGGCAATGAGATTTTTGAGAAACTCTTTGGCATATCATATATTGATGGTTTGAGGCCAAATGGATAAAATTTTGATTTCGGAAAGAAATTGATCGGAATTCCAAAGAACTGGTTGTAAATTAAGCCACCATACATTGAGAAAATAGGAATAACAAAATGTTTGTTTTCAAATTTGCTTGTTAATTTCAAAAATAAAGAATAAATCAAAGCAAGCAATCCGAAGCCGAAATCACCCATAATTATACCAAACAAGGCAAAGTGAAACGGAATAAAGTAGTTTGGATTAATATGGAACTTTTTATCTGTTTTAAAAAATTTATTTTCTTCAAAATGAGAAGGAGCGTTTGTATAATTCTTCTTTGTAGGATTACATGCATCCATGTATATGATTTTGTCAGTTCTGTTGGATTTCTCCAAAATTTTCCGAATATTTATAAAATCTTTTGGCAAAGACCAGCAATAAATGGTGTATCTATTCTTTTCTTGGTCGTAGTTGGATGTAGAGATGATTGAACAGATTTTGTAAAGCTTTTTGATAAGATTCCTGTATTTCTTGTAATTTTCTAGATTTGTATGAATTAAATTGATGAATCTTTGTTTGGATTCTTCCATTCTCTCCGAAACCGAGTTTAATTTTTGGTTTTTGTTGAAAATTGATTCGGCAACGGTTTCAATATCATCAAAACACATTGTAAGTATCGACCATTCATTGCAGACTGTTTTTAACGAATTTCTGATGTTTTCATCCGTACGTATTGAATAAATTTTGAATTTATTGTACTTTGAATTCTTAAATTCCATTTTTCCAGCTGAAATCTGCTTTACATTTGATTGGAATTTCCTGAACTTCTCTTCTTCAATGATTCCGCATATGATATGTTTCGCATTTGAATTTGAAAGCAAAGATTCAAGGTAAACTGATCTATCCTGTTGAGGAGATAAATCTGTACTAGAATTATCTGGTCTTGCATCTGTAGAATTTATGATAAAGTTCAGAATTTTTAACTCGATTTCTATTTTCTTATAATTTTTATGCAATGAGGTATATTCATTAATTGATTGTGTATACGTATCCGAAATCAATTGAAATTGATTGATTATTGGCTCGTGATTTTGAAAATCAGTTGTTGTATCCAAATCATCTTGGATAAATTCATCAGTCAGTGTGGAAATATGCTTATCAATTGCTTGTATGTTATTGTAAAGTGCTGTAAGTGTCTGAAGTTTTGATTCTATCCCAGGATTTCGGATAATAGATTCATTAGTATCATGAAATTGCACTGCATTGTTTTTCAACAACTCTGCAACTGCACTCCAGACAACATCTTCATGGCAGTTAATTTCTAAATAGTCTACTTCTGTGTCGTTCATTTATTAAAAATTGAATAAAAAAATCGTTCGCAAATCAAAATTGAAAGAAAAAAAATTGTTTGCACTTTTTCTGACAGTAAATATAAAAAAAGAATTTTACAGAGGTGTGGGTGTTTATTCTTTAATAAAGATTGTTTATAATAAGTAGTTTCTTCCACTCTACTGGGAAATATGGTTAAATTTTTGATATTGGCCTGGATTCCAAAATTAATTTGGAAATTTCGTCTCCTCTCTTCGTTTCTGGTTTTGAGGCATAATGGTGACGCACGGAGAAGCCTTAACTCCTCTGGATGGCTTCACAAATACTTTTACAGGGTGGGTATGCGACGCATTCCATTTAGCATGGTCCTTCTATTTGAGAAGTTTATTTTTTACACCTCTGAAATTTCTTTTTTTATTATCATTTACTGTCGAAAAAGGTGCAACAATTTTTATTTCAATTTTGATGTCCAAACGATTAAAGAAATTGTTTGCAATTTTTTAAATTGTCAGATCTGGTTTTCAAATAGAGTTTATTGCATTTTTAAAATAATCGTGTTTCATTTATAATCTCTTGTCAAACCGCAAATTAACCAGATAAAGAAAAAAATTCTTTTTTGAACCAAAAACTCCTTTTCTAATGAGTTAGTATCATTCAATCTTTTGATATTTATTATTTTATATTCTCATTAGCTTATTAAATAAAAACTTATTAAATTTTACTTGAGAAAAATAAAATTTGATTTTAGATGTTTTCTGAGATATCTTGATCAGATTCTTCAGCTTTATTTGCTGATTTCTTCTTGTAAATGAAGAAACATATGCCTGCAATGATTCCAACGCCAAGCAATACTCCGATGACAATTCCAGCAATTTTTCCGCAGTTAGGGCCATCTTTGGGAGTTTCTTCATTTTGATTTTCAGGTATTGGCGATGGTGTTTCAGGTTCAGGTGGTAAACTAATCTTTTGTGTAATATTCATTCCACCAAGTTGATCGCTGTTATAACTTTCATATGTAACTATTTCTTGGCATGATTTCGAATTTTTGAGGAAATCTCCCTCAACTGTGTCCATTCCAAGATATGTAAATTTGCTAATTGAGCAATTTTTAAATGCATTTGGATCAATACCTTTTATATTATTTGCAATTAAGATTTCAGTATTTTCTCCATTAACAAATAATTCTGGAATGACCATATCATTGATGTTTCCAATTGTAATTTTATTTAATTGAGTGAAATGAGTTAATGTTGGCAATGCTGAAATCTCTTGAAGTTTTAACATCGAATTTGATTTTGAAAAATTGAAAATAATTGAATCAATACTTGTTGTGAATTTATTAAAGTGAAGGAGTGTGAATCCAGTGCTCTCGAAAATTAACTCCTTTATAGAGCACGCTAAGAATGCATCAGAACTGACATTTAGTGTTATATCTTGAGCTGTTTGTATAGTTATTCTTGTGAGATTAGAACAATGGACAAATACTTGAGAAGAAATTCTATTAACTTTTGGTGAAATTGTTATACTTTTTAAGCTTCGGCATCCATAAAATGTTTCATAATCAATTGAGCCAGATATTGATGACAAATCTATGTTTGTAAGGCTGATGCAATCTTTAAATGCTCTGCTATATATTGTAACATTTGGAGGAATTTCTATACTTCTAATTGCAGAACATCCTTGCAATGCATTGAAACGAATTAAAGTAACATTTGCTGGGATTTTTAAACTTGTCAAACTTCTGCAATTGTAAAATAATTGATCACTAATTACAGTAAGGCCTGGCGGAAGTATTATACTTGTTAAACTAACACACTCATAAAATCCCGAATACCCAATGCTAGTAACTGTTGATGGTATTGTTAAATATTTAAGATTAGTACATTTGAAAAAGCCTCCTAAAGATCTAACACTATTTGGAATTGTTATACTTGTTAAACTAGTACAATTGCTAAAATCACCTAAATATTCAACAGTTGGAGGAATTGTTACATTTGTAAGGCTAATGCAATCGCTGAATACATTTAATCTAGTTTCGGTTACTCCAAATGGAATTGATATACTTGAAAGACTAGAACATTTTTCGAATGTTGAGTCTTCAATTCTTGTAATATTTGGCCAAAATGAGATATCTTTAAGTTTTTCACATTTATAAAACGAATGTCCTCCAAGTTGTATTACATTCTTTGGAATTGTGATGGATTGAAGATTGAAACATTCCGAAAAAACATATTCACCAATAGTTTGAACACCCGAAGAAATTGTTACTGATGTTAGGTAGTAACATCTGGAAAAGGTATATTTTCCAATAATTTTAACGCTTGATGGCATAGTTAAACTTGTAATTCCACTTGCGTCAAATGAATATGATCCAATTATTTCAACTCCTTTACCAATTTGTACATTTTTCAGAGTTTTACACAAGCTATATTCATGTTCGCGAACGTACATGTAGTCTGGAGTAGTATAATTTTCTTCTTTTGGACATTGGGAATAGCATAATACACTGAATAGCATAATTCAAAAATGAACAATAAAATATACTCAAAATCTTTCTGTAAATCTCTCAATTTTATTATCTCGATCTTTCAAATTTTGGATGAGAAAAAAAATGTTTGTCATTAATTGGCTCTTTATCAAAGAAAAAAAAAGACAAAATCAATGATAAAATCACGCATTCAATTTTAAAAAAAAATAAACTTCAGTGGGGCATTTATGATGAATATTATCAAGAAATATAAATCGGATAAATTTGTCATATTGAAAAAGTTGATCGTGACAATGATGACTCTCAAATATCTATTGAATTTTATATCTCAAGTGCCATTTTATAGAATTATTATTATGCTAAAAAAAAGCTCGCAATCATATCGAGTAAGGATGCAGACTTGGCAATTCTGAGGTCATTTTGGCAATTCTTAAAAAATTTCCAGCGAAATTGGCGCCCTTCGGACGCCAATTTCGCCCAATAAGATACGCATATCATAATTATAAGTATTTGGTTTTAGGACCTATTTTTTTCTCCTTTTTCTTCATTTCATTTTTTAATTATTTTGTATTTTAATTTCTTTATGAAAAATAATTCACTCTCTGTTCATTTTGATGAGAGTCCTCTGCTATATTGTGTGAGCAATTAAAAAAATTATTTTAAAAAATTATCCGAAATATAATAACAGAAAAACATCATCTTATTGAGAATTGAATATTAGTTCAACAAATGCATCGTATTCACAAAAGAACTCCACAAAACAGTTCAAATGATTAATATTATCGCAAAATAATCAAAAAATTTACATAATAATTTATGTAAGAAGGCCATCTCAGACGTGAGAAAGAATTTAGGCTTAAATTCATGTTTACAAAACGAAACAATAAGTATAAATATATTGCATTTTTAATAAATGAGCCTGATTTGATTTTACATGTAGTTAAATATGTTTCAGTGTCATTGTTTCAGATTTCTTGAAGCTTATGGCAATTGGGCAATTCTCAATAACGTACAATTGCCAAAAGAGTTTAAGGTTTGGCAATTCACTCAAATCACTGCGAAAAAAAATAACGTACAATTGCCAAAATTGGAATTGCCTTGGCAATTGTACGTTATTTTAAAAAGAGTTTACATTGAGTATCTCTAGTTTCACTATAACCTAATACATAACATCACAAAAAACATAAATCCTTCGGCAAAAATATCAAATGATTCAATTTCAAAAATCAAATTTCTAAAAATCATCAATAATGCCACCATTTTGTTTCAAAAATATATAGAAACTAAAATATAGCATTCTCTTGCTTCTTTCAGACTTAAATAATGCAAAATTTACTAATTTTTTCAAAACTTCGCTCATCCAAGAATTGCCAAGCTTGGCAATTCGTGATGAACAAAATTTGTGCTTTTGGCAGTTCCGACATCCTTATATCGAGAAATAGAAATTATATATTATAGCATTATAACATTATTATTTTTAATTACGATTCAAATAGGATGTGGAGATTTCAACTCACAAAAAAAATCTTTCACATTGTTCAAATTTCAAAGAAAAGATAAATATGGAAAAACAATTCATCATGAGGTGGCATCTTCTAATAAAAAAGAAATTGTCGTAATTATTCTTTCACTTATATCAGAATTCTGTAATTAATTAGTAAAGAACTGGCCGCACTGCTTCTTTCATATGGCGCAAAAATAAATTAAAAAGACAAAAATGGAAATACAGCTCTTCATAAGGAAGCATATTTTAAAGTAAAGTAATTGTTCAAAAATAATGAAATTATTAAACTTCTTCTTCACATGGAGGAGATATAAAAATAAGAGATAAAGAAGGATATCTGCTTAATATTTCAGCATAACTATTATTAATTAAGATATAAGATTATCAAATAATTATAATAAATGCAATAGAAGGATTATAATTTTTGTCTGTAATAGCGATATAATTTACATTTTTCCGATGTTTTGTCAGGGGCGTGAAGCGACCTAAAAATGTCGGAAAAGTGTAATTCTCCGATATATGATTATTTTTGCTTTTAATGCCGAGCAGCATTTGAATCAAAAATAATCATATGTCCATGAATAATCATTTTCGTCAGACGAAAATGATTATTTTTTATTTTCAGGGTCATGCTTAGATAAATTTATGAGATTGCAATGCAATGATACCTAAAAAATGGCTTTTATACTATTTTGCCATTAAAATATAAAGATATGTTGATATTATCTGAGTGTGTGAGAAAGTGGTAAATGCACCATTAACAAAGCATAAAAAAAGTATTGATTGCGTGAGAGTGTGTCATATGGGTGTAAGTGCGTCCTAAAAACTTTGAAAAATAAAAGAATCTTATTTAATAAAACATAAAAAAAAAATTATTTTTTTAGTTATTTTTCTCTCTGTTACGTAAAATAATAACAGCCGACAACTTAGAGAAACCTATTACAATATGGGTCAAATATATTGGATTCTTATCAATCACTTCGCTTATCAACCATCTCAAGTATTCATTGAAATCGTTGATAATTGATTCATCAGTTTCATTAAATAGAACAATATATTTGAGTCTTTCTGGAGGAATATATTCCCATTTCACGCAATTAAACAACTTTTCTATTGCTATTTCCAATGTATTTCCTGTGTAATCCTTAACAATGTGTTCAATCAAACTCTCAACAATAGGAGATATCCACATCTGAAGTCCTCTTGCCTGAACAACTGATGGATCGAGTACAGAGTTGATTGTATCCATTAGATAAGGCATTGCGTATGTCAATGGCAAACTCAAACAGTTGGAGAAGAAATCAGTGTCAACAAGATCTAATACATTGAAACTAGTGATCCGCAAACAATTGTAGATCCATGTAAATGCTTGTTTCGCTGCTTCTTCATTCTGCAACTGAGGAATGTATTGAAGAAATGGTTGCATGTATTCCGGAGTAAGAGATCTGAAGATCTTGGAGTTAGATGTAACGGCATCGCCTCCTCTGTCTAAAATGGAATAGATATACTGTGATGGACAGTTTTCAAATGCCGCCGCCGCCCACTCCAAAACTAGTTCTACTGAAAGTAGTTCTGCATCTGATGCTGCAGCAATTATCTGCATAATGTCACCTTGTATGTCGATATCGTCCGTATACAAGATGTCGCCAAGCTCGTCAAGCATCGATCTGATACAAATCTCCAAATTTGGTCGGACAAAATATTTCATATCTCCGTAAGTGATTCCTTTCTGAGCAATTGTGTCCTCTATGATTGGCTCGCGGTTGTTCTCGTGGAAAAAGTCAACGTAATGTTGGATCATGTCCAAAATGAACTTAAATGCTTTTGGAAGCTTCTTTTTCTCAAGTCTCTGGGCAAATTTCTGTGTAACAATCTGCAGAGCGGATGTAGAATATGATTTTATGGTCTCTTGGTCTGTAACTTTCATCATTGGCATAATAATAATCAGATAAAAGTAAGGAACGAGTTCTGCGGTTGCCTGATCATCGAGGGAGACGAAATTATCTATAAGAGGAAGGTTTTGAGCGAAAATGTCCGCTGCAAGTAAAGATAATTTTTCTAAATATTCCGCGTTGAGGAGAGAAGGGTCTTCTTGGAAGGAATCCAATACGTATTGGATGCATTGGTCGGAAAGTTCGGGCGGGAAGAAGACAAAGCACTCAACAATGAATCTTGAACCAAATGGGATGATTCCTGCAGAAAGAAGTGGTTGTATGACCGCTTTGGAGATCTCTGGTCTGCAGCGTTGGTTCAGACAACTGATAATTAGGATGTTTCCTGGAGTTAATTCGGTTATAAGTTCTTGCCAGTAAGGAATGAAGTATTTGGACTCTGACATGGCGTCTATGAGGTTAATGAACTGATTGGCTGATGAAAGCTCCTCGTATGATAAGTTGTTGGCGATATGAATAATAATTATTAACATTCTTGGGATTAAACTCAGGAAAACGTTCTGTTCATCATCGGGTTGGAATGTAAATACATCTTTGGTCCATTCCAAGATGAAAAAGATCTCATCCGTGTTTTCAATCAGTTGTTCAGTAATATTAAGTACTTGGTCGAAGGTTTGGATAGCGAAATCTGGATGAGCAATGTAGAATTCGGCATCTAAATCGATAACTGTCTTCAAACATGAGAAAATGAAGCTGATTGTAGTAGAATCATTATCTGTCTGGGCCAATTTGTTATTTATCATATTAATGAGGCATGTAATGTATGGCTCTTTAAGATCGTCGAATTCTTGGAAGTAATCGTAGGAGATATCTATGAGAGATTTGAGATTATTCAAATCTTGACTTACAACTTCAAGATTAGTCAAGAAATTGCTTGGGAAGTCGTTTGAAAATTTATTGGAATACTTGCTAAAGAGCTCGCACCAGTCATAAGAAGGTTCTACTTCACATAAAACTTCAAAAATTTTATCTGTGAAGTAATCAGTATCGTTCATGAATTCTGGATCAAAGATATCAGCAACGGAAATGTAGAATTTAATTAGTTTGTCTTGTGAGAGATTAATATTTTGTATTAACTCAGTATGAGAAATACAAATCATTGCGAGGGCATCAATGACGAAGTTAAATGTAGAGCGGTCTTCCCTCTTCTCGGACATATCTAATTCCTGTGCATGAAAGTTTAATAGATTAAATAGCATTTCTATTGTTTCTGGAGACATAATAGCGTTATAATATTGGAGTAATTTCTTAGTAGCAAGAGCTGCATAGAATATTTCAAGATGGCTTTGCGGCTCTTGTAGTAATTGAATGCAATATTTGATATTTTGTGGAAAAGATGTCCATTTATCATGGATAATTCTATTCTCTTCTTGAACCTGAGTGTTATTTTCCTTGGATGATGCAATGGCGTGCCGGATAATTTCGAGGGATAAATCGGTCATTGCAATATTATGACGTCACTTTTTACTGTTTGAATGTTATGTGGTCTAAATTTTGAATAGGAGAAATTGATTTAGCCTTAATTAATGCTTTTAATGCGAATTTTCGAATTTAATTTTTATTAAAAAATGCAATACAAATTTTCAACGTGAATGTCAAATTTTTTTATGAATTTTTTCATGTGGCATTGACAGTTTGTTAATAGTGCTTTAATTTGTTCTCAGATGAAGGCACGTAGGATAAATATTGATCCTCGTTTAGAATCCGTTGATTCCATAAAATAAAAATCAAAAGTATAAAATCCTGAGTTCGGAGATTTCCTTCTTCCTTCAGAATGCACTTTCCTATGAAAGCTAAAATACTTTTGAATAGCATTTAGCTTAAATACAGACAAAATTAATTTGCAAGAGAAAGATAAAAAAAATACTATTGAAAATTGGTAAATTAGTAGATCATGCGAATGTCTTCCTCGAGTGGTGTGCTCGTCGTGATGATAAGGATTTCACTTTTTGATATATTTTTTGAATTGCAAAACAATATTAGTTTTTACTGAATGGTGAAAAATAAAAATCTATTTACAATAATTTTTAATAATGTTGAACAAAAATTAAATTAATAATATTCATTTCTATGAAATCTATCATTTCAGATGCTATTCTAACTTCTAATGTGTGACAATTCTTTTCTTGTTAAGCTTTATTAATTCATTTAAGTTGTAATTCGCATATTCTTTAAAAAAATTGAATTTCTGATTAGTTAATTTTCAAATATTCCTTGATAAGGAATGTAGAAATGGCTGAAATAAAGTAGAATGGATATCGTTGTTTCGTTGCTAAAATTTCCCTTAATATGAAAAAGCAATTGACCAAAAGGCTATCTGATATATCGACAATCATATTTGGTATTGCAATCAAAACGAAATCAAGAACCATGAGAATGAGAATTGATTTTTTCAACTCAATATATGCAAAATAAGAAGTAAGAGCAATTAAAGCGACAGTAATAAAATATGTATAAATATCTAATATTCGATCTGCCAAGGATTTCTTTGACTTCTTTGATGAAGAATTCAAATTGGAATATCCTTCTTTTCTTCTTTCTTCTTGAGTTTTAGGTCCAATGTGTTTTGGTTCGTCTTTTCTGACTGCTTCATTCTTCATAACAACATATTCATTCACATTTGACTTTAATGGAATTTGTTCTTCAGTTTCAACAATTTTTTCTTCGGGTTTAGTCTCTGTAACTTGTTGACTTACATTTTCTTCGATTTTTCCTTCAGTTGTGTTATTATTTTCTGAATGGTCGTGTTTATGAAAACCTGCCAATGCAGCAGGAATTCTTACTTCGTCTTTATTATCCAAGATCATTTGCTCTCTTTGCTTCTTCTTAGCAAGCAATCTTTGGCGGCGTTCTTCGGCTGCTTTAGGATCCATTTTTAAAATTGTTTTTTATTTTGTCCGTATAATATTCAATTTTTGAATAATAATTTTTAGCCAGACGGGTAATATAATAAAGCAACTCAAGTTTCCGAAACACAACAAATCAAAGCATTTAACTTTATTCTTCAATTAATGAAAAATTACCGCTTGCTTTCATTCTATTTAGTCAAATCATTTTGTAAAATATAACATATCAAAGTCATATTAGTTTGTCATGATCTCGGATGATATAGAGTAGTCTATATAAACTATATGATAGGGTAATAAAAAGTTAAATTATAAAAAATTTGAAATAACATTATATTGGAGTATTTATAACATTGTTAGATTTCTTACTTGAAGGTGTAGCTTGCACAGATGCATCCTTAATATCAGTTACGGTTTCATTTAGTATTTCTCCGTTTTCTGGAACAGTAACAACAGGAAAATCTCTGCTGTATGCGGCACGGTCTCTAACTGATAAATTGAGAGAGTTGTTGAGATGCATTGGTTTGATATTTTGTGTTGATTTGTATTTCATTGGACTTTCTGTAGTTTCTACAATCATTTTCTGTCTTGGTGAACGGCCAGGAGATCTATTAATGATTTGTGAATTAGTTTTCTCTTCAATTTGTTCTTCAGTTACTTCTTGTTGCGAAATATTATTTTCCTTCTGTTCTTCTTCCTCTTGTGCAATTTCAGTTTGTGGATGACCGTAAATCTTTGGGAAAGACTTCTTATTTTGTGTTTTATTAATAAATAAACGAAGTTTTGACTGGATATGCCTTGCTGCGAAATTATGAATTTGTTGGAGCTTTTCTACCGACTCTTCGGTTGTAATTTGTGGTGCTATATCTTCAATCGTTTCAATTTTTGTAAAATCAAGTCTTCTTTGTTTAGAATTTTCGTTAAATCTGTGATAACTAACTTTCTTTATCTTTTTAGGAGTGCTTTGTTTCTTTTTCTCTACAGGCATATTGATCTTTTCGATTGTTGTTGATCCAACAGTATATTTCGGTCCAATTCGAGGTGAATTCATTGAAAAAATTTGTAATGAGAAAAAAATAACAGTACGTTTTGGAAATCATTTCGCACAACATATTTGCATTATAATATATCTATTGAATCAAATAATGGTCATTTTTTGCGCTTTCTAAGTGAAACGAATTTTGATATTTGTCGAATAGATGATTTGAAGCATATTGCGATATAAACTGTGAGATACTCCACTCATTTAAACATATTTCAATATGATCAAGTTCCAAAACTATCGATTTAATTTGAGATATTGAATTCAAAAATGTCAATTAGAAAAAAAATTATTATTAATAAAACATATTATATATTTACAAACAAAATGAGTTCTACAGTAATGTATTATGCATTTTTTGCAGAAATTGTTGCAAAAAATGGATGTTTTAATGCTTCTTCGGATGTGATTCTCAAACTAGGAATAGGTTCGAGCATTTTTTCGAGTAAATCAAATACAGATGGATCCAAATTCATATCATCTATCGTAGAATTTAATCTTGTGCAGAGTTCTTGCATATTATAGCCTTTCTGTTCAACAGGGAATCTAAGTTTTCGTCCACACTCTTTTGCAGCTGCATAAAGCTTTTCGGTTCCAACTAAAACCGAAATTTCACATAATGATGTTAAATCATCAGGAGATTTGAAAAATGGATATCTCTGAGAAAGTATAGAGAGGAGAACTACTCCAGCGCTCCAAATATCGATTGTCAGTGTTTGATTCCAGGCTGCAAAAAGAACTTCAGGAGATCTAAATCCTCTGGTGCCAGCTCTGTTGGCCATCATTTTCTGCCTGTTCTGGCATAAATGAGGGAACTGTAAGTCGAAATCATTTTCAGATGAATCAGCAACTTGCGGCGTAGCTGTTTTAATTGACATATCTTCTTCGCAAAGACCAAAGTCTATCAATACTCCGCGCATTGTTTTGGGATCAAACAAAAAATTTGCAGGTTTTACATCTCGATGAATAATTTTTTTGCTGTGCATATATGCTAGAGCCGAAAGTAGCCCATACATGTAATGTTGGATTGTTAAATTGTTCATTTTTGATAGAAGCTGACGAAAAGGTATGTGAGGAATGTATTCCATCACTAAAGTTGCTTGATCTACTGTTCTAAAGCATGCATGGCACTTAACTATATTGGGATGATCTAAATAGCATATCCATTGAAGTTCTTTTAGAATTCGATCAGGTGCATTATTCCAAAAAAGTCTTTTCAGAGCGTAATGTCTGCCTTTTTTGTCTGTTGCATGAAATACTGTGGAAAATGAACCTGTTCCAATCAGTTCATGGATTGTAAAATCGGCTTCTGTTAAAGCTCTCGCCATGAACTGATTTTTAAAAAATTCACGGAAATAATTTTGGACAAATTTACAAATTTGAAAACTCAAGCTAAGAATGCTTATAAAAATGCCATTGGTCAACCTGATAATCTCAATTTTCTGGTGGAATATTAAAATTAATTTTGGCATTTTTATTTCAACAACAACAAGAAAAAGGATGAATAGAAACGTAATACTAGGACGTATTACTCAATAATTGCCTTGCTAGCATAACTAATCTCATATATTTCATTTAATCTAAGTTAAAATCAATAAAAAAAATCAGCATAACGTCAAAACGAAATGGTAAATTTTGGTGGCATGTTATCGGATAATCAAAATCTTTAACAATTACAGGAGAATATCCTGGAGGAATGGTATTATTGAATGGAGTATTTCCATAAAACATTCGTACAAATGCTCTCTTTTCCATGGCTCCATTCTGAACAGTAATCCTTAATTTTTCTGTTTCCACTGGAATGTAATCTATATATATCTATATTGATTGCTATATTGAAACAAAAATGTATTTTCATATGTATTTATACACACCATGTATTTAGCATTTAATTTTGCATTAATAGTTGTATGCTCGTCTCTTATCCTTTCGCCTTTCAAATCGCAAATCATTCTATGTAAAGATTCATACATAAATACAACAATACTTATTGACTGACTTGCAAATCCAATTGAATATCCACCGGTTCCATTTTCCCAAAGAAATTCCATGCATTTTCTACCAGAAACAAAATCATTACTTGTATATGAAATGTAAATTCCAGAGCTATAGTACAGGTTAAAAGTCTGATTGTCGGAAGAAGTATCAAAACTCAACTAAAAATAGCTATTCGATGGAAAGATATCTTATTTACGATTATTTTTCCTCTCAAAATCTATTAAATTTGGCATCATCTTAATATTAGTAAGTAAAATACTTTTCTACCATTTTTTGGGACAGTTTGTAAAATCCTCTTAATTTTTTTCTGAGGGAAAATCTGTACGTTAAGCCAAAAATTTTTGCTTCATTTTTTGATGTCGATTTCTACAATACTACGACAGGTTCTGCTATTTGTGTTCAATTACACTTGGCCGCTCCTATGCACATTTCAAGCCCTTCAATCTAACGATAAAGATCAAATTCATACTTGCATTTTACGATGGGGAATGCTCGGAATCTTGGAATTCTTTGGACCTTTCATATCTCCGTTTATATCATTAATTCCAGGAGGAAACATTCTTATATGTTTAGTTTATATTTGGACTTTCATTCCAATTTTAAGTCTTGGTGAAATGTTTTATGCAAATGTCTATGCTCCAATAATCGTTCAACATTCCACTGCCAATTTATTTGTCGCTTCCTATACATCATTCATTAATGGCATCTTCAGCAATTACGAGAATTTTCTTAATGAAATGAGACAACCTATTAATAATACTCAGTATTAGAACATTTTATTACTTAATTTTATTAACAATATACAAAAGAAGCTATTTTCTGAGTTACTTCATATTGAGAAGAAGAAAACCCAATCAAATATGAAGAAAGAAACAAATAGTGGATACATAGCAAGCCATTTCCTCTCTTCAGAGAGTTTTGGCATTATTATTCTCATTGATTTCAAAACACAGTGAACTGTTCCTGCAATTAAGAATAATAATGTCAAAATCCAATGGAACCATATGGCCAAGAATGTAATAGGAATGTAAATCGAAATTATATAGAATATAAATGATGCGACGTTGAAAACACCAATGTTATTTGATAAAGAAGAAATTGTGAATGCAGATATCAATACACCAGCAGCTAATAAGACTATGATTGAAGCGAATGCACTTCCTTTTCCGGTATCTTTTGCCCAAGCAACAAATGATGCTATCAATAAAATTATCAAAGAAGGGCCAAGAAATTCCCAATCTTCGAGTGATTCATTTGGAGATATTGTTTCTGTATAAACTGAAATAAACATTTTCTTTCCAATTAAATAATCTTTTCTTAATGCAGATGCTATGTCTTCTTTTATATTTGTAGTCTGCTCTGTCTGTATTGGAGCAGCATTCTCGAAATTTAGATTGATTTCAGGATCATTTTCCATTTTTCAAATTTTTAAACGTCACTTTTATATTTTGATTGATTAAAGAAGGAACTCACACTCATTAATAGAACTTCACTTCATCAAATACTAATAGGTATATGCATTGGGAGTTATTTCACAATGTTAAAGCACTTTTCTAAGATAAAACTCATTTGATATTTTTTATATCTATGTTCAGTGGCAAAAAATATTTCAAGTATAAACGCATATTTACATAAATAAACAAAATATAAGATAAAATACAAAATATTAATAGTAATATTACTTCTTTTTTTGCTTTTTCTTTTTTGGCTTCGGAGCATTCCTAAGGAATATCCTGACACAACCTTGAAGAGTTTTGATTGATTGTAGCATATCATACATCTGCTTGGACTGTCTTATATGTAATTGAGTGAAATATCTTTCATCAGCAATTGCTGGAGCTCTTTTCTCATTTAATGTTATTAGTTCACATCTTAATTTTGCAACATCTCCTTCTAATTTTGTCATTTTTTCGAATGAATTTTTTGATTCTTCCTCTAAAGCTGCCATTTCTGTATCATACTTTGAAATTAGATTCTGAAGTTGTTCCTCTTCTTTTCTGACCAATCTTCTATTTGTACCTTCATGGTCAACATCTTTTTTCTGTGCACTTCCTATTTTAATTCTTACGTCGCCAAGCTGACTTCTAAGATTTTCTTCATGAGTCCCTAGCTCATCTTCTAACTTATCTTCTTGTAGTAGTGGAAGTTCCATTGATCTTGCTTGTACTAATTGTTTTTTAATTGCATCTAATTCTTCTTCTTTTGCTCGTATTTTTAGTTCTTTTTCTCTAACAGCAGAGATTTCTTTCTGTTTAAGTATTTCTATATGTTCTCTATTTATATTTTCCATTTGCTGTATTTCTGATACAATTCGATTTCTTTTTTTGTCGTCTTTAACATGTTTTGAGAAAAATTCAGTTTCAAGATTTATCATTTCATCTAGGTATTGAACAATTTTTGGTTTATATCCAACTGCTTCATTTCTTTGATCGATAATTGGTTTGAATAATTGTGCATAGTTATCCATTTCACGAGATAGTTCCCTTGACAGTTCCATACATATCAAAACTTCTTCATCAAAAGCAGTTTCGTAGCCTGGTTTTGGATAGCCGTCAGTCGTCATAATTTCCATTAAATACTTTTTATGGTTATGAAATTCTGCAGAATATTCTTTAATTATAGGGGGTATTTCATCATTTGACTCTATAAAATCACCTATTGTTGGTAATAGTAAAGATAATTCAACTCTTTTACGGCATTCGTCAAGTATACACAGTATCCTTTTTGCACCAACAGAAGAAACCTTTAAGGCATCATTTGTAGACATCGAGTTTATTTTCTCTTTGAGCTCTTTATTATGGAAAAGAAAACGAAACATATAAAATTATGCTCAAAAAACGGTTTTGATTTTTATTTCAAATCATCAAGGAAATTTTTGTCACAAAAATTTTTGATAATTTTCAAAATTACAATTTCATTACACTTTGATCACCATTAGTATCTTTTACTTCATTAACAAGTCTACTGTAGATTCAAAGAAATGAAGGTTTTATTAAGAGGCTTCACGCCTGTATAAAAGTGTAAATTTTACTATATAGTATCAAATCTGGTTTTTAACGGTTTGGTCGGGGAATCCTCTTAACATTAAATATAATTTTTAAGACAAATAATTAAACATCATTAGATATTATTTTTTAATGATATATTCTCTATTCGGTTTTGTCTTCCAATAAGTATCTTCTCACAGAACCTCTTGCAACATCAAGAGCAGTCTTTCCGTTATTATCCTTTGTTTCTTTATCAGCTCCAACAGAGATAAGATATTCAACAACTTTAAGATAACCATTTAATGATGCCTTAATGAGTGGAGTATTTCCATCATTATCCTTTGCTTCTTTATTAGCTCCAACTGAGATAAGATATTCAACAACTTCATGATGACCATTAATTGATGCAATAATGAGTGGAGTATATCCATCATTATTCTTGGCTTCTTTATCAGCTCCAACAGAGATAAGATATTCAACAACTTCATGATGACCATTAATTGATGCAATAATGAGTGGAGTATATCCATTTTTATCCTTTGCTTCTTTATTAGCTCCAACTGAGATAAGATATTGAACAACTTCAAGATAACCATATATTGATGCTAAATTGAGTGGAGTATTTACATGTGAATTCTTTGCTTCTTTATCAGTTCCAACAGAGATAAGATATTCAACAACTTCAATATGACCTTTAATTGATGCAATAATGAGTGGAGTAAATCCACCAAAATTATCCTTTGCATCTTTATCAGCTCCAAATGAGATTAGATATTTAACAACTTCAAGATGACCTTTTTCTGATGCAAAAATGAATGGCATATCTAAAGATTTTACTTGTCCATAATTACCATTCTCTATAAGAGATTTAATAAGTTCGAGATTTCCTTCTCCGCATGCTTTATTAAGGGGATCTTTTGAAAACATTAAAATTTTTGACTAATCAAACAAACAAACAAAAAAAAAAAACTAAAAATCGCCAAATCCGGAGATTCGTGGCGGTGATTCTTTTTATTTTGAAGATTCTGGACAAACTTAATATACTATATTAGCATGCTAATCATATTACCAAGATAATTATAATGGTACTCTCACTTCAAATCTGTTAATAGTTTTTTTATGTGGTTAAGAAAGAAGATAGTATGGACAAATATAAGACATACTACGCAGAGAAAATAAAAATTTGTCTGTATGATTTTGAGTTAGAATATGTATGCCCTTTCAAGCTTAAGCATTCAAAGATTTGATGTTTTTAAAATAAAGAAAATCAATAAAAAGAGTCCAATATTGATAATATAGATAGTTGTAACAAGAATATATTTATTCAAACAATATGCTTATGCTAAACTTGATGAATGTGAAGAGCCTGTACCGGCCTGAGATGGTATGCTTTGCTGAACACTTCTTTGTGTACTTGCATCATCAGCAGGAGGAATTGCAACTGTAGATGATGAAGGAGGTTCGCTTAAAGTCATTCTTGACTTAGTACTCTTGGTAGACAATGATGAAGCTGTTGATAAGAAACTTGGATGAAAATCATTTCCTTGTGTTGTTGTCATTCTTTGAAATCTGATTGGTGGAGCGACTACAACATCCCTATACATTGGATCTGCAGCCATAAATGGAGACTCCCTAAGAGGAAATTTTAATAAAGGACCCTCCTCAATGAATCGCCACATATTATTTCTCTTTATCTAAACGTACAATTACAATTTGACAGTATTTCAAATGAAATTACATTGCAAGATTTAAAAATAGACATATGCGTATGTGTTTGAATCGCCTCATCATTAATTCAATAAGAATATTGTTTTACAATCTGAATTGCAAATTGAATTTGTGTCATTTCGACATTTGAGCAGTGTTTAACTTGCTATATTTCTATCTACACATCGGTAGTAATATGTGATGCCAAACTTTAATTCAAGAGTTTCGAAAACATTGTTGAATTCTTTTTTTTGCCATGTAACCTAAATTTGTCAAAAAATAATTATGTCCTATCGTCGTAATTAAAATGCAAAGTGCAATTGCCCAGCAAATTCCAGATATTATTCAGCTTGTCGTTGCTAGCTTGAATGACTGCAACAAGTCTGCTGACTTCCCTCAGCTCTTTACAGAAGATGCAAAGCTCACATTTGAGACAACAAAGAAAGAATCTAGAGATCACGTTGTAGCATTATTCCAGGAGAAGCAGAAGACATTAGATGCTAAGGGACCATTCTCTGTTACAAAATATTCATTTGTTATTGTCTCAGAGACTGAAATCATTATTAATGGTTTAGCACAATGGGGTGGAGTTAACAATTTACTTACAATTTGTTTCCAGATCTCCAAAGATCAAAAGTTGCAGATTTCAAACTTCATGTTAACAAAATTAGCGTAAAATAACCTCAAGTTTAAGTAGAAGGAGCCCATTACCTCCTCGTGATTAGTATTGATTGAATAAATATTACTAATAGATTATTTAAATTGAATTTAATCGAGAAGTTAAAATCATATAATTATTATTTTCTACATTTTCAAAACCAAATCAATATCTTTGGTTGCTAATACAATTTTTGTTTGTTCAATCTCAAAGATATAGTAAACTACCATAATATTGAGTTTCTAATTTTGATATCATTAAATTCAAATCTATAAATACAAGAAATTATGTTTTCAATATATAGTGGAATAACTGGAAAGTATGTTAATATTAACAACAGCTTGAAAATAGCTTAATATGAAATGAATAAGAAGAGATATTTCAGTAACATTATGTTTATTTACAAGAAAATGACTCGGATGGACCTTTACTGATCAAATCTTTCTTATGGTCTTAAATATATACTTAAAAAAGGCAATTATAAGCCTAAAAAGGAAAAATCAAACGAATCTTTTGTCACTTTTTTGTAATAACGAATGAGCTCGGAACAAGAGAATACAAAGGTTGAGGAAAAGCCACAAGATGAGAAATTACCTAAGTCATTCACAGTTCTTCCTCCGATTGCAAATCCTAAAATCCCACGTCTCGTTGATCTTTGCGTTGATACAATAATTAAAAATTTCACAGAATGTTCTAAATTACACTTAATTCCAAGAAAATATCAAACAAAAATACTTCAAAAATTACCTCTCGACATTAATTTATCTCATGCTGTTATGACAATTCCAGATGGAATTTATTGGAAGCGCATTGTTCAATCAAAGTATGCAAACGTTCCACATAGCCCAAAGATGACCCAGTGGAAGCGTTTTGTACTCGAACAAATTGCAAGCAATGCCCTCGAAAATGCAACAAAAGAAACAATCGATAAAGTCTTTGAAGATTTAACCGTTCTTAGCCCATTCGTTCGTACAATTAAAATGTCACGCTGCCCTAGCAAGATTTCAATGGCGAAACTCTTCAGAACTTTCCGTGGCCTTCGTAAATTGACATTAGTTTATGGTGAGCCACGCCGCAACTTTGCACAATACGAAGAATTCGACCAATTTACTATACAACAAGAGATGAGTGCATCACAACGCGATTGCACCGCTCTCCAAAAAGATTTCGAGCAAATTGGTTCTTTCTGTGCCTTAGAAGAGTTCGAGATGTCAGACAACTCACTCACAGACAAATGTGCTCAGATTATCGGCTATGGTCTTATTCATCTTAAACGTCTTACATCAATAACTTTTGCACACAATGAAATCGGAAACAATGGTTTCCAGAACCTTGTTCAGTGTGTCCGTTCTGCTCCAATTCGCTATATCGATGTCTCCGACAACAAGATTGGCGCCAGCGGTGTTCAATCTCTTGCAGCAGCCGTTGAAAAGAACACAACCCTCGAATACCTCAATATCAGCAGCAACCAACTCAGCGACAAAGGCGTCTACGGAGTCTCACAAATCATCGAGAAATCTCCATCTCTTAAATATCTCGACATATCAGGTAACCGTATCGAACACTTTACAGAGATCATTGAAGCCCTTAAGAAGAACACAACCCTCACAGACTTCATTGCTGCAGCAAACCCAATTTGCGCAGAAGATCAGGAAATCTTTGTAAAGTTCGACCAATTCAACCAAACTCTCCAGACTATCGATGTAAGATACTACCCAACAAACGAAGAAGATTACATCGTAAAGACAACAGAGACATCAGAAGCACCAATTCTCCGTATCAAATAAAATGTTCAATTTTTTTTTATTAGTTATTTATAACTTTTTTCTTATAATAAATACTTATTTGACAAACCTCGGATTATGATATTATTCTACTTTTTTTAAAAAATCAGATTGTATCTCGAAATCCTAAGTTGATTATCCCATTTTGTTACAATCAATGAAACCACTGATTATGCCTTATTCTACACAATGCATTCATTTTGAAAATGGCATGTTACAAAAAAAGTTACAAAAAGAATCCAAATAAATCATGTAAAAATATACAATTATAAATGTAGTTAACTATCGATATGTCAGATTGGATTTTTATAAAATTGAAATTATATTGCATAATTAAAGACTATTTTTATTCGTAATCATATGGATAGAAGGGTCATCCTGGTCTTCATATATTACTCGTTGGAAGTCATCTTGGCTCTTTATATTCATAGAAATATTACACAAATACAAATTTGAAAATTTGCCATATTTTTTGTTGGACACTCCTATATCAAATATAAAAAAGATATGAATTAGCATTTCCAAACAATTTTATTACGTTTGAAACTAGAGTTTGATCCAAATCTTTTTAATTTCTGAAAATCATTTTGAAAAAAAATCCGAAAGCAGGAGACATCTCTATTTTGCAATATTTTTATCCCCATAAAACTATACAAACTCTATGATGTTCATTTTTAATATGGTTTTTTGTTGAAATGATGAAATTAAGAAATAAAAGATAAACAATTTTGGTAAGAAATTAATAATTACATTGACGTCTTGAAACCGAATTCGGTATCAAATTAAGTAGATGATATGAGGTAAGATTTGTTAATTCGGTTAGAAATGAGTTTGATTGTTTTGAAATCTCTCTTTAAGGGGAATAAGTATATGTATTTCTAAATATACCTCTGAAAGAGAGTTTTGTTATTGTACATTGAAAAAATTGTGGAATCAGTGTGTATTCTTTGAAAATTTGATTTAGGTTCTGAAAATAATGCAAAACGTAAAATAAAGAAACCATTTGTATGCATATGATTCATATAATGATTTCTTTTATATTTCCACATCAGAGAAAAAAATTACCCCCATTTAAGGGTGCGCCCGGGAGGATCATGTAAACTTCAGAATTTAGAACCTTAATTTTTCAGCAATTACTTGGTACCTAAATAGGTAGTAAAACTCTAAAAATATCAAAAAGTACAACTTGGCTCCATAATAATCCTGTCATGGTGGCAGTTTGTATTCCCTAGTATTTTCCTCTTGAATCTCTTTTTCTGTCGAAATTAAATTCAAATCTCAGAAGTAGAAGTGAATAATCGACTTATTGCTGCTATTATACGAATAAACAAATCCATTATATTATTTTTATTTACATAATATCTGTTTGAAGTTCATAATTCTATAAATTTTTCTTCAAAAACATTACAATCTTGATAGTTTTGATACTGTTTAATAGGTTTTTGGCACCTTATTTAGTAATTACAACGTATCGAGTCGATCTGAACTTAATTTTCGGAAATTTAAAATATTTATCATAAGTAAAATCTGATTTGAAATTTATGTTTAATTACTATATTTTGCATAATCCTAAGTAGCTTTTGTAAAAATTCATCAAAAAAATTTTAACGTGCTTTAATTTTTTATTTTTTAAAATAATACATATTATTATATAACTAGCATATTTACAAATTTTAGTGCTTTCAAAAATTTAATCCTCCTCCTCTCAAATAAACGTACATCCGGGTGGCCTGTTTTTTGCAAAAAATAAAATTTCATTTTTTTATGCTTAAAAAGTCAGAATTTTTATTTGCTTCTGGGATATATGATGGCTATGTCAGACGCCCATTCTTTTTGATACTCAACATTAAACATAAAACTTAGCCGTTAAGGCTCTTCTGAAAATATTTTTTTTTCGAAAAATTTGCGAAAAAAATCAAAAAATTTAAAAATCCCCGAATCTGCAGGGATTTTAAAAAATTCTTTTTAGTAAAACTTAAGGATATTGTATCAGATATATTGGTATGGGCAAATTCAATTTTAATACAATATTCATTAAGATATTGCGCTAACGAAGCTTTCAAAATTGAGAGGGTAATCCTCCTACTCTCAAATAAACGTACATGCGGGTGCGCCCTTAAATTTTAAAAAAATTTAGGAGTAAGAATTTTGAATAGTTTGAATTTTATCACTTCATTTTCAAATGCAGCAAAGATTCGAGGATAACATCCAGCAACTCATTGCAAAGTATAATGAGTCACCATCCTTTGAGGCAAAGCAGAAGTTGGCAATCAAAACATTTAAAGCATGTCACGATGTTAGCGACCGTCTACCAACAGAGCTCAACAAGTTCATAAAGCGAGTAGTACCGAGGGACACACGTAAATATGACCGAAGAGCTGTTGAAGAACTAGTTAACCAACACGAGAACCACGGAATTAAAAACTCCCCATCGTACCAGCTTATTCAAAGACATATGGGATACACAACTCAAAATACGCCAATAATACTCCTTTATGGTCTCTTGAAGCTTATACCAAATCGTGTTTCCAACAGTAGAGTATTCAAAGATCAATCCGCAATCTACACAGAGCTCGATAGACATCTTGACTGGCTTACAGAATACATTAGAAATGCTGAAATGGGTGGTATAAAGATCTTCCAATATAATTAAAAGCCTTAAAAATTTTTTTAATATTATCTTATTTATCAATGAGATTTTTTCCATCTTTAACATTTGCAAATGAATATTATTATCCTTGAGAAGATAAGAGGATCTTATTTTTGTTTTAAGCTTAAAAAAAATATAATTTTAAAAAATTACCAATTGTTTTGGAGTATTTTACAAGTATGGCAATTCCAGAGCATGCTATATGCATCAGATACCTTGATAATTTGCAATAACAATGTCTTTATAAGATTAGTATGGGAGAAAAATAAAAAATATTCATATTGGAAAGATTTTGAATTAAAAATAATCGTCAAAATGGAAAGATTTGATTTATCATCATTTGCATACGTACAGAGATGGGCAACTCTTGATTTAATATATAATGGGAAGCATCACTGGGTTATTCCTGATGTTTTAGTTATGTATTCTCATATAATTGCAACATCCAAAAAAGAAATACAAGTTATCAACATTCCTAACATTCCTGGCCCATTTGATGAATTTATAGAACATCTTTATTATGGCTCTTTTCAAATTAATAGCGAAAATGCAAGATTTTATTTTGCAATTGGAATAGCTCTCGGAATTGAAGATCTTACCAACTTCGCCAAGAAATACGTCGAGAACTGTGAATTAGATTTAATCATAGATTTAGCAAACAAGCTCGCAGAATGTAATTTATTTGATGATGGATTAATTCAAACGATTGCTAAAGATTTTGGAACAGCATTAACAACACCATCAATTAGAAATTCACCTGCTCCACTAATTTCTAAAATTAAATCAAGCCAAATGTTTGTACTTCATAATCCAGTAGAATTTGGTAATTACGTTCTTTCTCGTATTGAATTTGACAGTGAGTTCGAACCTCTCCTAGTTTCCTACTTAGAATCAGCTGTTAAATCAGAAGATATCTCATTATTGCCAAGATTACTTTCTTATCCAAATATAAACCTCTCTAAGTATTCCCATATATTGGACAAGATCATGCAATCTATATCAGGCTCAGAAGAGTATTACAGATTTGATTCTTCAAATCCACGAAATGGATTCATTCATAAAAACATGCAGCACATCGCACAACCTGTAAATGAGAAAGGAACGTTTTCTATCAATGTCTCTTCCTCAGACGGAGAGAAATTTGGACCATTAAATCTATTTCAGGACAAAAGTGACGTTTATTATTGTTCTGGTGACCAGAACTCTGTTGTTGAATGGATACAGATCGAGTTCCATACAGGAAAATTCCTTCTTATTGATTACATTCTTGAATCTTATTATTCGACCACAAAAACTGTTGCTCCGATAAAATGGAGAGTTGAAGGATCAAATGACGAGAACGAATGGGAAATTCTCGATGAAAGAGATGAAGAAACGCTTGTTAAAGCTCAAGGACCAGTGAAATTCCATATTTCGAACAATACAAAGATTTACTCGATGTACAGAATCACCCAGCTCGAAAACAATGGAACAAACAACAAGAGATTCATCCTTCAGTCTTTCGACGTTTTCGGTACTTATACAAAACATTAAATTTTTTGAAAAAAATAAAATTGTTAATTATATTTATAACTTTAATACTCTTTTTTAACAGTTTTTTGTTCTATTATAGTTGTTAATTCTATCCATGGTACCAATACCTTGGTTTCTTATTTCATTCTTTCAAATTTGAATTGGTTTTCATCTCTGTGAATTTTCATGAATGTTTATTGAAACAAAATTGCTTCACATCAATTATATGGCGCATAATTTGAAATTTCTATAAAATTAATTTACTATAGGGCAGAATTAAGAAATCAAGTGTCCCCAATTTATATTGCATCAACATAAAATCATAACATAATTCAAATTGCATTTTTTAAGTTTAGCTAGCACTATTAAACTTCTTGGTATCAAATAAGAATGAATGCTATTTGAAATAAACCAAAAGAATATGATTGTAGTAATCTATAGTCTATGATCGATTTTGTCAAAGAATAGTTATGCTTGCAAAGTTTATGCTGAGTGTGGAAACAATCTATAGTAAAAACTTGAAAGGAAATACACATATTAATAAAATTCTTTTATGAAATATTATATATCAGTTAACTTAACAAAGGACAGTGAAAGTAAAACAAATAAAGCAAAATATCTGAAATAAAAATTGTTTTGATTAAGAATTGATTCAAATGCTTCAAATGCAATGCATAGTAATGCATCTATTATAGCGTGATTACTTTGGTTACCATTTTCTGCATCTCTTGGAACAATAATCAAAATTATCGCCGAAAACAGATAATATTTGCTCTGTGGTGTTCCACAAATGAGCATAGGGAACAAGTATACAATGAAAGGTATTGGATGGAAAGCCTTAAAAAGTTTCTCAAGGCTTAATTTTTGGCTAAATTTGTAGCCTAAAAGTAAAGAAAATGCGCACGTAGCAATAAAAGCTACAGCAACTTCTATTGCAGTTGAGAGCTGCTTGATGAAACGATAAGCTTGAACGTCGTAATATCTGAGGCCAAATAAATAATAATCAATAATTGGTTGGATAACTGGATATATAGCAAAAGGAATCATTGCCAGATAAGAATATCCAGGTAAATGGAGTGCGAAAAAGTAAACCGGATTAATGAAAACAATGAGTGGAAAATATTGACTAAATCTGCAACTTATTGGTTTACGTATCAAAGCATATTGAATAGGATACATTAAAATGCATACCCATGCTTTGACATCTATACTGAGGTTTTTAAGTCTCGTAAGAATAATTTGAGAACCAAGAATGGAAGCAAAAATACTAGAAAGTATCATTTCATTACTAATCCAGAAGAATGAGATATATAAAAGGAAAACAAAGATGAAAAAGAAATAAATTTGGTGTGTGGGAAATTCATCGTCGTGTGTTAGTATAAAATTAGAATAAATGAAAGATGCTATAATGCCAATTAGGAACTTGGCTATGATCATAATTTTAGTATTCATATCATAGCAATTGGAAGCTTTTGAGAGAGAATCTGCTAATGATTTGTACTTTCTAGCAGCCCAATAGAATAATTTAGAGTATTTAATGAATATTAGTGTAGATAATCGTTCTTGAATTTCTTCAAACGAAGCACTTTTCTGGATTTTGCTCCTATTGGCTAGTCCAGCTTTTTTGCCTTTATCTTGTGTATCAGAAATATGTGTTTCCTTATTTATTTCACCCATATTTCCTCGCCCAAAAAAAAATTGACTCACGACTAAATAAATTTTATTTTATATAGAGAAATGGCGTGCATTTTTAATCGTGAATAAAATGAATACACAGATTTTGGATTTTTAGAATTTATTATGACGCTTTACATGACAAAATTTTATATCAAACTTTTTAGGTATCAAATTTTTTTTCATTTTTTTCGATGTCAAGTCGCCAAATCAAATGGCTTCGTGAGCAAATGAATAAAAATAAGAAACCACAGCAAGAAGTAGAAGTTGATGATACCCCAATTGAGAACGACAATGATGATGCCATCGATTTTTCTTTATTGGCCGATGAAGAAGAAGATGCTGTAGCGCCCCCTCCACCAGCACCTGTTCCAAAAGCTGCTCCAGTACCACCTCCTGCCAATAAGAAAGGAAAATCAAAAGGAAAAAAGGCAGAAATAGATGAAGATGCCGAATTTGAAGCATTAGCACTTGAAATGGAGAAGAAAAAGTCAGAAGCAAAGTCTCAAGCACAACCACAGGAAAAAGGATTCCCAATTAACTCGTTAAATTTCGCAAAAGAATTAAAGACAATTCTTAAGACAAATTCATACGATGAGTACCTGAAAATACCAAAAGCAGCCGCCTCTAACAGATTCATTGGAAAGAAGAAGTCTTGGCCATCTCCTTTCCCTCAATTTTTCAAGATGAATCAACTCGACGAGTATACATTTACAATTGATTACACAGATGATGCACAACAGCAGGTATCTGTATTCAACGCATTCAAGAGGATGGATGATGCGCAAAGCATTTTCGAAATGGGATTACAGTTTCCTTTCTCTCCTTTGACAATTCCTGTTATGTGCGGACAACAACTATTCAACAGAGAATTCGATAGAGCTACAGAAACCTGTCTTCGTGGGTTTTATGTGCTTCAACAATCTCTTCCTCCAAATTTCGACCCATTAAAGTCAAAAATAGTTCAGTTGCAAGCTTACGATGAGTTTTTGAACCTTATTCGTTTCCTTGCTCAGTTCACTTTTCGAAGGTGTTGCTTTGAGACATCAACAACACTTTGGAAGTTCGGAATTTACATTACAAATGGTCAAGCTAAAGATTTCATGCTTCTTGCCCCTGTTTCAGCCCTCTATGCAAAAGACCTTGATTTCATTAATGAAATTTTGAATGGAAACAATGATTGGCGTGGTGTTCCAGCTAACTATATCCCGGATTGGTCATTATGTCAGGCATTACTCGCTCTTCCTGATGATATTTTACCGTTATCCAAAGAATTTGCTCGTTGGCCATATATTTTCAAAGACATAGCTGTGATTGGAGATATGGAACCAACACCATTCATGGAATCTCTTGGAACAATCTTCAGAAGACGTGTAAAGAAGTATCTCGAAGGAAAAGACGAAATTCTTCAAACTGCAGCCATGCTCGCACAAGATATGGATGAAACAGACAGTCAATCACTCGCTTTGAGCTATTGGTGCGATGTTCAAGTCGATGATATCTTCCTTGGAGGTTTCGATGAAGAAATGGTTCTCCCAACTGGATAATTTGTATTTTTCTATCTTATTTTTTATTTTTATTTATAAATAGAGTTGATTTAAAGTAATTTTTTTTTAATTCCATCAAAATATTAGAGACAGACGTGAAGAATAAATTCATTTTCCTACGTAAAGCCTCCCTATCGTTTTTCTGCTTCAATATTAAGTGAATCTTTATCAAAAAATTGAATCAGAGACTATAAAAGGAAAAGTGTGTTAAACGTATAAAACTATTTTCAGAATTTGCTACAGAACTCGAAATTAGGTCGAAGAATGATGCTGAAATACAAGTTGAAATCACAGATGGTCTTTCAACAACAAATTGTACGATTAGAACTCTTTACTACCCTACTGCACAAGTCAATAACATGACACTATCCAAAGCCTTCTCGGCGCCCGACTCTGTTGAAGTTGCTTCGTATATGATTCGATCATCAATTGTCAAAGAGATGCTTGTACTTCCTGATGCAACGACTAAGAATACTGTTCCAATAAAGATGGTCATAGATGCTGTTGCCCAGCTTTTCGATGTCAAAATGGAAGGAGGCTTCGGAACAGTCAGATCTACAATGGAATTCGGCCTTCTCATGGCCCAAAGACCGAAATTCGATCTCTGTGAACCATTTGAAGCATGTTACCCTATATCCTCGCTTGTTCCTGTCTTGAAAGCAATGACTTTATCCTCTGAAACGAGTTTCAGGTTTAAAGGCAACGGAATGCTCTCAATTCAACAACCTATATCTAACCAGTCTGCTGGATCCGTCGAAACTGTCGTCGAATTCATATTGCAACCTCTTGAAGATAATGTTAAAAAATAATTTTTACAAAAATGGATTATTACTATTAATCTGTTTTTTGGATTTATATCAAATTGTTAGAGACAGACATGAATAATATAAAAAAAAAAAAAAAAAAAAAAAGGCATTGGGGCTTCCAGGGCTGCGCCCCTCTAGCCCCTGAAGATGTTTAGTATACAATGAAGTCTAAAATGAGGTTTTTGTGGGTGAAGGGGGCTTCCCAGGCACTTCGTGCCTTCTAGCCCTAAAAATTTTTGAAAGTCGTTGTCGTTGACTTTTCGGTAGAGGACTCAAAATAGTATAACTATGTCCGGACAAGTAAGGGTCTATCGTCGCTACAGAAAAGTTACGGGCGTTCCAAGAAAGTATACTTTGAGAAGCCTTTTCTGTCACTTTTTCAGGTAAAAACATTTTTATTATTGTATATAAAATGAATTTTACAAAACCACCGTTACCCTTCTTTGGAAATAAGAGTAGATGTAAAGATATTCTATTGAGAGAACTTAAGAAACTACCGAATGGTCTAACATTTGTAGATTTGTTCGGTGGAAGTTTCTATATATCCCATCTGTGCCATACCGTATTCCCAAACTCAAAGATTATATGCAATGACTTCGACAACTATATGAACCGTCTCAAACATATACCAGACACAAACAAAATATTGAGTGAGTTGAAAGAAAAGATACCTATAGGTAAGATGGAACGTATACCATTAGATAAGAAAAATACTGTCAGAGAGGTTTTGAAAAAGGCAGAGTATATTGACTGGGATAGTATATCTTCTAGACTTTTATATAGTGGTTCTATAAGAGTTCATGACATTGAAACACTTATGTCAAACGTTTTATATCTTAACTATACAAAGGTTTTCAAAGAGAACATAGAAAAATATACTGAGGGTATAGAGTTTGTGAGATGTCATTGGACAGAGTTGTATGAAAAATTTAAAGACAAGGAAAATGTTTTCTTTATAGTAGACCCACCGTTCTATAACACATACGATTTTCAATACCAAGTAGACTGGACTTTGAGAGACTCTTTAGAAACTTTAGACGTTTTACATAACCATCCATGCTTTTACTTTACATCCGATAAAAGTGGTTTGGAAAGTGTCATGAGATGGTTAGAGGACATACATGACTATGAGTATAGATATGATAAGATAGAATATGAGAGAGGTCCTATAAACCGGAAAAAGTGTCATAACAAAGAAATTTTATTGGTAAGTAAATGTGGTTTGAAATAGGACTACTTGTTTTAGGTTTTTTCCATTGTGTCATTTACTTATTTGACGTGGCAGAGAAGTACAGAGAATATGAAGATGAACCAATGCCTGCAAATGTTCGGCATATGTACTCGTAAGAGATATTTTTATCTAATATTAAATGGACGCACAGAACTTAGCGAATGCACAGCAACCCGGACAACCAAACCCAGAGAATATTCCAAATGAAGTTAGAATACAAACTGCAATGGCAAACTATGGTCAAGTGCCAACAGATGTACAAATGCAAACTGCCATGTCAAATGACGCTGCGTTAGGCTTACCACCATGGTATGCAAATATGAGATGGAAAGAGTTTTATACAAACCCTGAAGTGGGATATAAACAACTCTATGCAGATGACGCGAACACAGGAGTTGACCCAGAGTATGTTTTCTACCAGAGGAGAAATAGAATGTATGAGCTCCAGTTAAAGAATGCAATGGAACTCAGAAGGAAACGTAAGAGACTAGGCGGACATTAGATTTTTACATATAGTAAAATGGGTTTCTTTGGAAGAATAGGAAACTTCTTTCGAAATGTTGGAAGAGGTATATGGAATGGAATAAAATCTGTCGGAAGAGGAATTTGGAACGGTGTCAAAAATATTGGTAAAAGAGTAGGTCAGTTCGTTGGTATTATACCTAAAGACCCTGAACCAGAAGAACAAGCTCCTGTTATACAACAGCCTGAACCTGCACCACAGTCAAGTTGGCAACCAAATCCAACACCTCAACCGTATTAAAATTATATTTTTACCGTTCGATAGTAGTTGTATATGAGACTAAGTTCTAAGTAAAACGCATGGTATAATGGAACTATTCTCTTTCTTCCATCTGTTGTAAACCATACTTGAAAGTCTGAAATACTTCCACTCGGTGGTTCATATAGCTTTGTAGGTTTTTCGTAAAAGTCATTTGCCAAGCATAAAAAAGAGTTTTGTGCACCAGAAAATGAAGCATGAACTATAATAGCATCTGAGTCGAAAACATTTTCATATGTTCCATTAGGGTTTTCGACTTCATAAAAGTTCGGGTGTACTGGATATTCTGCAGGCTGATTTAACATCCTCAAAAATCTATACCATGCCAAGTTGTTATATTTTGTAGAAATATAAACGTTTTCTCCAAGGTCTTCTATTCTATTGATTTTAACAGTTGCATTTTTCCTGTCATATAAAATATCGAGATGGTACTCTCCTTCGTCAATGTTGTACTGTTTTGCATATTCGAGATAGATATCGTTTATTTTTTCTTGAAAAGCTTGAAGAGTTGTTTCTAAGTTTACAAGCAAATTCACTTGTAAAAGTTTTCCCTGTTCAAATTTCTCATACGTACGTTTTTCTTTGTTATAGTATCGAACTTCAAAACCGACCGTAAATGGGAAACCATGTATGGCTTCTGAAATGAACTTCATTCTACGAAAGCCAACAGCTTTTGTGACAGATGGGTCTCTTAGCCATCTTAACGGGTAGTCAAAACGATAGCCTTCATGCTTTACGGTCTCTGTCTCAAACTTTTGACCGACATTCGTAAAAAGTTCATCTAATGGTTTAGTTGTAGCAACTCTTGAATTTTCTTTTTCTATTGAAAGCATATTTTATCTAGAATAAAAATGTCGAAAGAAACAGCGTCTATGAGAGAAATACAACACAACCGACAACTCATTGTGCAAGCTCTAAATAAGAACACAACAAACTTTTCAAACTATTCTAAGATATCTGAGTCATTGAAAGAAGGAAACTTAAAACTGACATTAAACCCAATGACAGATGAGTTTCTGTTTCAAGACAATAGGAACCATACTGTCTGTATAAATCCAACAAAAGGAACTTTAAACGAGAAACCTATAAAAGAACTTCTTTTGAAAGCAGATGTTGACAACAAAGCTGACAAAGAGTATGTCATTGAAAAAGTTCAAGAAGAACATGACAGAGCAGATGCAACATATGCAACAAAAGCAGATGTTGAAAAGAAAGCGGATAAAACATATGTTAACGATGAGTTAGCACGTGTGGCTAGTGCATTAGATAAGAAGGCAGATAAGGAATATGTGGATGAAAAAGATGAAGAAATTAAAGAAAGGGTTGAATGGTACCATGAACGGACATCAAAGATTTTAAAATCTAAAGCCGATACAGGATGGGTTTCAGGGTGTTTAGACCTTAAAGCCGACAAAGAAACTGTAGATATGTTGGCACAAACGGTTTCAAGTCATACCAGAGGTTTAATGGAAGATGGACAACAGTTGAAAGAGCTTGAGAAAGGTGTTACAGAGTTAAGGAATAAAAAAGCAGACTCGACATGGATAGCTGGATATGTAGATGCAACAAAAGAGTATATTTTCGCATGGACAGAAGGAACATACCCACAAAAACATCATACACATAGCATCTCTGACGTAAATGAACTTCAAGAAAAGTTAGATAAGAAAGCTGACAAAACAGAGCTTCAAACATTAAAGACTGAAATACTTCAAACAGTATATCCTATAGGTTCTATTTATACGTCAATGAACTCTACCAAACCAGAAGTAGTACTTGGTCTCGGAACTTGGACTCAAATAGTCGACAGGTTTTTGTATTGTGCAAACTCTTCAAAGGAAACAGGTGGAAGTAAAACGATTTCAGGTGAAAACCTACCTGCACACAGTCACTACATAAATTTAACTACAGCTGAAGCAGGTTGGCATAAGCATAGATATTGGGATTGGACAGGAATGACAAAAGGTAAAGGATATGATGTTAAAGACGACGTTAAGTTTGCTATAAATTGTTACTGGAGTAACACTGAGGGAGGAGGAAGCCATACACATCGCATTACAGGATATGCAGAAACAACGGGACAAAGTAAAGACTACATGCCACCTTACATGACAGTTTACGCATGGTATAGAATTGCTTAGTCGTCATTTTCAACTTCTTTAGCATATTCGTCAGGAGTTGTCTTATATTTGTTAGGAACTGTCTTTGAAAGTATACCACCTTGAACCTTAACAAGTTTGAAACGAGGTCTGACAATAGTCGTTTTATCTTCTGCTTGCAGTCTGTACATTTTGCCATGTTTGCCTAAAACTTCATAATATTCTCTTGTATACTTTCTTCTATTTTTACGAACACGAATGTGAGTACCTGTCGGGTACTTGTTGTTGTCATAGTCAATAGTATTTTCATATGGGTCGCGTTTAGGTATTTCTATTTTTACTTTGTCACCTTTCTGAAGTTTGAAGCCTGGCATTCTTTCTTGTTTGTCTCTTTTGACTAAACTATTAAATATATAGTCTTTCTCTAAGTTGGGGTTGTTTTTCATTTCTTCGGGGGAGTGGTTTCCCAAACCTTTTTGTTTACGGCTATTGTAAATATTTAAAACTTGTCTCATCTTTGCCATGGAGAAGTGTCTGTACTTGTCGTCATATGACATTTCATCTACCTCACCACCTTGTGGTTGATTTAAGTCTCTTAACATTTTTATACAACCGTCAATGACACCAAGAGCAGAATGGTTTTGGTCGACAATGAAATATTGGTTTACATTTTTTGAACGCAGATAGTTTTTAATATCATCTGATTTGAAAGAACTTTCATAGTCAGATGTCAGTTTTGTTGGATGGTATTTGTCAACGAATATTGTCAAAGCAGTTTTCACATCTAAAATATTTTTGGACCATAATGGTATGGCTTCACAGTATCTTGTGTTTTGACCAACAAATATTAGCCAGTATGGTGGTCCATCTGTTCTAACTCTCGGAATGTTTTCCAAGATATCCATAAACCAAGCATTTGGTGTTGAACTAAAGATTTTTACCATGAGTGCTTTCTTTGTCGCTTTAGAAACATACGGGTCCTTGTTTGGATTCGTCATTTTTATCCTATAAGAAATGGGTTTATTTGGCGCGTTAGCAGGAGTTGCATCTAGATTTTTACCCGCAGTGGGAACAATAGCCAGAGGTGCATTTGGAATTGGAAGGAAGATTTTGAGTACTTTAGGTATACTTAAAGAGAAAGCACAACCTATTATACAAACTGTACAGAAAGGTTGGGATGTAGCACGAGATGCAACAAATCTTATTCCAAATCCTGAAACAAGAGGAAAAGTTCAAGGATGGATGGACAATGTAGGAAGACAAGCAGGAAACTACTATAACAAAGCAAATGACTACTATAACCAAGCAGGGCACTATATGGACCAAGGTGAAAGATTCTTTAACAGAGGATATAACCATGCACAACAGTGGGTAAACAACAACCAACCTCAACCGCCTCAAACGTGGGGAATGTAAAATTTTTTACTGAGATGAAATGAACAATACAGCATTGAGACAAATGGGTTCAAGATGGCTTTGTCGGCTTCCAGCAGTTACACAACCACGTGTTTGTCAAGTTCTTCCTATACCTCAGGAAGTTTTAGACCGACTTAAAAAACCTAAACAACCAGTTGAAAACAAACCAAACTAAAATTTTTTACTGAGATGAAATGACCGAAGAAGTTGAAACGGCAGATTTGACACCACAAAAAAAAGTTCAGAACCATTGTCAAAACCTGTCAAAGAACTTACAGATGAAGAGAAAAATTCAATAATAGAAGGTGCCAGGTCTGGAAATACAAACCCTAACTACAAAGTCACTTTTCATAAAAATGGAACGGCAAGTATCTCAAAAAAGAAACAGACTCTCACAAATAAAATATTGAAGTCTGAAGGAGCTTTCGAGACAACAGATGGAAAAGTTTACTTCACTGACCAACAGTTCATTATAGAACATCTCATTGACTTAGAGTCGAAATATTCTAAACTTTACAACAAACACAAAAAGTTGAAAGGAAAACAAAAACAAATGGCATATGATATTTATGAAGATGTTGACGACACAAGTGTTCCAGCAAGTGAGGTAAAGTCAGATGAACCGAAAAGTGACGAAAAACCAATAGAAGAAGGGAAGCCAAAAACTGAAGATAAACCAAAGTTTAGTCTGGAGACTAAACCAAGTCAACCTTCATTAGCTGGTATGGGTTGGCGTCAAAGACTTTTGGTTGCGGGTGGTTATGTAAAGTAAAGGAAAAACATTTTTTTATTTTTATAGAAATGTACGCTGAGTTTGTTGGAGAAGACCGTTGGGAAACTTGTTTGTTAGATGAGAAATATGAAATGGCATACCATTTAAAATAAAACATTTTTTTTAAAAAAACATTTTTTTATTTTATTTGAAATGTACGCTGAGTTTGTTGGAGAAGACCGTTGGGAAACTTGTTTGTTAGATGAGAAATATGAAATTCACTGTTGTGAGTCATTTGAAGTCAGAAAAAAAGAGACAAAAAGAGTTTTAAGCGAATGGGAGCGAAATGACGGATATACTACTATGAAGATGAGTGGAAAAAACTATCCTAAACATGTTGTCATTGCAACTCATTTTATACCGAACCCTAACAATTTACCTTTTGTAGACCATATAAACCATATAAGAAACGACAATAGACTTGAAAACTTGCGTTGGGTCACTTGTTCTGAAAACAATAAGAACAAAAGCAAATTTCGAGATATTGTATTCGAATTTGTCGACGAACTAGAAGATGAAACAATTGAAATTACAGACTATGGCGAGCATACGTTTGAGTTTTACTACTATAGCGAAGAACAAGACTCTTTCTACTTTTATACCGGCGTAAACTATAGGAAATTACAAGTATGTTTTACTAAGGAAGGCTATGCTTATGTAAACACTAGAGATACAGATGGAAAATGCGTTCATATACGTCTTAACAAATTCAAGAAGCTATATGGCATACCATTTTAAAACAGTATATTTTTTTATTTTTATAGAAATGCCCCCATATAGAATGGACAGAAAGTCTGCTAGAATAAAAGCAGAGTTAGAAAGATATGGTTGGAGAGTTTCAAAGAAGTTTAAATATAGGAAGGGAAGACCCATAAAAGTCTATGACAAACTGACTGGTCTGACCTACGAAATGGACTTGGATACAGCACGCGCAAATTATCCAAACAGACTAGAGAGGTTAGAAGAAGAATGTCTTATGAACATGCCTTTCGATGTTAATGAACCTCAAGTTGAAGGACACGACGGCTTTGCCAGATTCTACTGGAAACATGACGAACAATTGCATCCTTTGAGACGGAAAAAAGGGAAGGGTGAAGACACACATGCTCCCATGGAAAGAACAAGATATGCATATGAAAAGTATCGCGAAGTTCGAAGTAAAATTACATCTGGGCGAACCTTTACAGTAAACTTTGACGAAGGAAAGAACAAAGAAGGCTTCATGGGAGTACTTGCTGCAATTCAAGACGGAAATAAGAAAGGATACAATCTCAGACTAACCGTAACAGATTTAGATGGTCATATATACTATGCACATGGCAATGTCACAACAGCCGCACAACTTCTTGACGCTTCCAAGACTACAAAGAGAGAACAAATGTTTGACTCCGACTCAGATATTTTGAATGCAATTGAAGGAATTGCAAGCGTGAAGTTTGAATGGTACCAACCCAACCCTCAAGCAGTCAGACAACATGCTGGGTATTTCCCGTTCAGAAATAAGTCTGACATTAACTTAACCAGGTATGGAATTTACAACTCAATTGAAACAATTGTCAATGAACCTTGCATTCTTACATGTCTCAGGAACTCCGGTCTTGTTACAGATGAGAAAATGAAGTATCTTGAGTCATGTCTGAAAACAAGGTACATTCTTAGAAGTCAATTGTCAAAAATTGCACCGTTGGCAAATGTCAATATCCGAGTTAACATACCTACAGCTAAAGGTTTTTCACATGACGACTATGTTGTTGACAAAGACTTACCATGGTTGAAGATTGTACTCATCCACAACCACTTCATGTTGAACGAAAGTCTTACAAACCCATTGTTCGGAAAAGGCAAGTGCAACATTGTCAGAGCTGTTAACATTCTTTTCGAGAAAGGTTTGTTGGAACCAATTCCAGATGACAAGCTGACAGAAACTTTTGTACCAAAAGACGAAACAAACTTTTCATTGTTGGTAAGACCAAAAGTTGTTCCAGACAAAGTTATAGCACAAAAGAAGTACACAGTTCCAAAAGGAGTTGGATTGTTCGGATACCAACCTGAACCAGAAGAACTTCCAATGAGGTTGCAAGAACTTCAAGATGCTATAAACAAACTTCCTTTGAGAAATCCAGTCGACGTCAAATTGTATTGGAGAGCATCTGAGTTAGGTCAGAAGGTTTTATATGAAACAGGTTGCTTTGACGATGTTTATGAGATAACAGGAGAAGTTTCTCAGAAGATAAGAGACTCGCTTGAATTTCCACGAACTGGGCCAATAGGATGCGACAAGTTCGACTCATATGAAAAAATATACTATGTCGACCTTAACGCTGCGTACATGAGGTTTGTCCAATATATCCCGACTGGAATTCCAAACGAAAATGGCGAGTTCCCGGGAAGGAACTATACAGTTGGAAAAGTCATACAACAAATGTATGATATTAGGAAAGCTTCAAACCCCAAACTTGCAATGACACTCAAATTGCTTATGAATTCGACATGGGGATATTCCATTAAAAAACCTCAAAAGATGAAGAGTAAACACTATGAGAAGGTCGACAACTTTGTTGAAAGGTTTTCTCCTTTCGTTTTGAAGTACGAGTTCACTCAAGGTCAAAATGGCTTAGTAACCACATTAAAACCTATTGTCGAACATTGGTCTTATCCTCAGTTCGCAAAGGCAGTCCTTGACAACTACAACAAATTCTTCTCAGAGGTTAAATCCAAAATTGTGGTATACTATGAGAACATCGATGCACTCATGACGAACGAAGAAGGCTATAACAAACTCATTGAAATGGGTATGGTCGGTGAAAAGATGGGCTGTTTTAAGCTAGATAAGGTATTTTCCGAAGTTCATGTCCTCTCCAAGCGTAAGTACTGGGCTGTTAAAGAAGATGGTGAAATAGTTAAACATTGCATGAAATAAAACATTGCATGAAATAAAACATTGCATGAAGTAAAAACGTTTTTAAAACAGTATATTTTTACATATATAAAATGCTTCAGGTTGAAAAACAAAGAACAAAAGCAGCAGATACAAAACCGTTAGACTATATCTTTACAAATGCTGGTAGAAATATTTCAGATGAAGAAATTTCATCCGGAGCTTACAGGTTTGACTATCCAATTCGTTGGCTTCAAAGTCCTTCAGATGCAAAGGCAATAGGATTTAGAAGAGTTTTGTTTTCAAATAGAACGAATGCGTTTATGTTCGCAGTATATTTTCATGGGCAGTATAAAGGTTCTGATGGTCTAATAGAAAAATTTGACGAAATGAAATCTTTACAATTCGTTCAGACGAAAGTCTTGAAAAAACTCTAAATGACTTTCAAATCAAATAAACAATACTACTGGAATTTCAAGAAAAATACCACTCTTTACTAAATGGAACATACTATCTAAACTAGAATACGACAAGATGAATTCCACAGTTTCATTTCAAAAGATTGAAATTAACCCTCCAAGAGATACAGAGTTTTTATATTGGGGAGTAGACAAACGTTCTTGGGCGCAATTTCTTCGGTTACTAAACCAGAACGAACCATTGCACCAGATGGTCCATTTAAATTTATACTCCACCAACAGATTTGACAGTTTATAGAAACGTGTTTGACCCTCAAAATGTCATGTGTCATGCAAGTTTCAGTTCAAGCAACAACAGTTTTCTTTGTATCGGTAAGGACTTTTATGACTTTGCTTCTAATTCTACGAACCACCTAGTAACAGTTTCTCTGACTTTCAAGTTTGGTTTACAACAAACGGTGTGGCATATTATACATTGTACTACGATTTTATCTCGAATTGTCTTTCATATACAACTACGGAAAAGTGCTGAAAAAGTACTGAAAATATATTTAGGGTAGATGGTTTTTAGGCGAACCAGGTCCCTCGGTCCCTCGGTCCCTCGGTCAACTAACATCTTTTTGAAAATGGTGACAACATGACATTTTGACAACAGTCGGGAAATATATTTTATCGTACATGTTTTGTCATGAACTTTCTTGTCTATGTTTTGTCATGAACTTTCTTGTCTATGTTTTGTCATGAACTTTCTTGTCTATGTTTTGTCATGAACTTTCTTGTCTATGTTTTGTTGAGACTTCATCTAATTTCTCATGAACTTTCTTGTCTATGTTTTGTCATGAACTTTCTTGTCTATGTTTTGTTGAGACTTCATCTAATTTCTCATGAACTTTCTTGTCTATGTTTTGTCATGAACTTTCTTGTCAATGTTTTGTCATGAACTTTCTTGTCTATGTTTTGTCATGAATTTCATCGTAAATGTTTTGTCATGAACTTTCTTGTCAATGTTTTGTCATGAACTTTCTTGTCAATGTTTTGTCATGAACTTTCTTGTCAATGTTTTGTCATGAATTTCATCGTATTCTTTCACCCGTTGAATTTTGTATAAAAAGCAACCCGCTGGTTTCCGCCGGTTGGTATATTCTTCACAAAATGCTTGTTTTGAGGTCGAGCCACTTTTGGCCCCACCGTATTTTTCAACCAAAACTCTTGAATTTTGTGCTGAAATAAAAAAAAAGTTAGTTTTTTAAAAAAATATTTTTTATTTTTATTGTAAGAACATGTTAGCAACAACAGCACCAAACTCGTTAGTCATGAACCCAACTTCAATGTTAGTAGAGATGAAAAGCTTCATTCCTTCTTCATATACTTTCGAAACAGAAATCCAGAGATAAAGCAAGAACTTCTCCAAGGAGATTTAGACTGTAGTGCAAAAGATGAAGAAAATGAACAATATCTTTATGAAATGCAGGACCTGGTGGAACATCTACCTAAAATTCCTGAAATACAACAACAAAAGCTTACAATTCCAGAATTCGATGAAATAGAAGTGAAACCAACTGACTCAGTAGAAATAAAGAAGTTCATACGAAAGCTAAACTATGAGTTTCTTGGATTTCATTGCAACCACAAAGACTGCGATATGGTATATTTCATTGACATAAAATCTGGGGAGTTTAAGACCTACGACAACTTTGTTTCGTTAGTTGCAAAATGTGTCTTGCAGATAGAGATAAAGATAGAAGAGGTAAAGTATGGAACGGACAGATAAAACCAGCAGCCTTTGAGTTAAAGAAACCATTACGCCTTAGTCATACTTGCAGGTAAGGTTCAGAATATAATGCTAAAATGAACCCACAATGTTCAAAATGTAAAGCAGCAACAAGGAAATATAACTACTCCGTCAAAGAGATAGAACGTATGAGAAACGACTATGCTGACTTAAAGAAAGAAGCAGAGAAACCAGCAGAAGATAAAATGGACATGTTGACATTTCTGAACAAAAACTATCCAACTGCTAACGATTTCCTTCTATCTGACGTCAAGAAGAAATATAAAGAAACATTCGGCATTGTTAAAACTTTTGATATCCTTCGTGAAGAAATAGAAGCTACAAAACTGTTTAAAGTCATGAACCATCACAACATATACCATGTAAAACGCTTGTGAAACTTTTATGGTAGAAATATATTTTTGTCTGATTTACGCTCATTGACGAAGAAAGTCTATTTCCTGGACTGTTGTCAAAATGTCATGTTGTCACCGTTTTCAAAAAGATGTTAGTTGACCGAGGGACCGAGGGACCTGGTCGCCTAAAATATATTTTTGCTGAAAAAATGACCAAATTTCATGAATTTCCTCATATGTTTGCTACCCTAGGAAAATCGAGGATAGAGATTCCGTACGAAAATCGTAAAAAAAACTCATGAAAATCGTGAAAAAATGCTACCCGACTTTTAGGGTAGCCAAAACTCTTGAAAATCGTAAAAAAAACTCATGAAAAATCGTGAAAAAATGCTACCGACTTTTACAGGGGTAGCCAAAACTCTATGAAAATCGTAAAAACTGAATCGTGAAAAATGCGAGCAGGTAAAAAACCCTGGTCGCCTAAAACTCATGAAAATCGTAAAAAAATGACCAAATTTCATGATATAACTGTATCTTTTATACAAAATAAAATAACGCTAGTTTTTTTAAAATATTTTTTTTTATTTTGTATGTAAGAACAGGAAATGACAAGCACTGAGTTTGAAACAGTTAAAAAGATAGACAATGAGACCAAAGTGGTTAGAATAGGTGATTTAAACGTAAGATACTCAAAGAAATACAACAAATATTCTTTGTCAGACATTTTAACACCATTTGGAAAGAAAACAAACCATTGGGTTGGAATTGCTTCAACTCAGAAAATTTTGACAAGAAATCCTGAGCTTATGATATCGGTAAGATTCTATGGAACAAGAACATATCTTATAGACAAAAGTCTTATACCAGTAGTTTTGTTCTGGATTGACCCAGTTGTTGGATATAATTTCATAACATATGGTTCATTCGATACGGAACGTTGCAGTGAAGGCTTACTTTACATCGTTCAGAAACCGAAGGACTTCAATACAAAGAGATATAAGATAGGAAGAACATTTAATATAACTCAAAGATATGACAGTATAGTCAATAGAGTTAAGGTTGCGTTTGTTAACGATATGAGAGCTGCTGAAACAGAACTACTTGAAAAGTTTGAGAAAATGTATGGTGCTCCCACGAAAGGTAAAGAAACGTTTGAAGTAGATGAGATCGACAAAGCTATAAAATTATTTGACGAAGTTGCTGAAAAATACATGTAAAGCGTTTATTTTTGGTCTTTTGTGAAAGCCAGAAAATAACGCTAATTTTATTTTTATTTTATTTTTTATTTTGTATGTAAGAACAGAAATGTCAACAACAGAGAACACAACAACTGCTATCGTTCATGAAGCCATAAGTGAAGAATATGAGTGGGTTCAGTTTAACAAACAGTTACGTCTCATTCGTTCAGTCAAAGATGACATGTACCAAATGCAAAGTATTTTGACAGCATGTTTTGCACCAGATACCAAACATACAGACGATTGGTTCAAAAACCAAAGCACACAAGAACTTTTGAGCGAAGCACAGCGAGACCGACTTTTACAGGGGTCGCCAAAACTCTATGAAAATCGTAAAAATTTGCCAAATGGTTTGAGAGGTTGGTATGTACATAGACTTCTTGTAAATGCTGTTGCAATGTGGGCTTCACCTCGCTATGCTTGGTATATTTGTAAACTTCTTGACGAACTTCACAGACAAGAACGTGAAGAGATGGAAAAGAAACTTCATGCAAAAGATGAAGTCATTGAAGCAAAAGACAAAAACATACAGAAAAGAATACCACGTTCGGTACCAAAAGGAAAGGAAAAGAACTATAAGTATATGATTTACACTGAAGAGATGGAAAATGAAGAAGACAGAGATATGGTTATGTTGCATTTAGTCAGAAGAAACAACAAAAGCTTTTACGACCTTGCTAAGATTTACAAATCTGACAGAAATTGGTTCTATCGCGAAAACTTACCGATTTCAATGACACCAAATGAAGATGTTAAACAGATAGTTCAAGATACGTTACCTCAAACACACTATGATATGAAAGGTTGTACAATACTTACATTCAAAGAAGACTTACCGCTACTGAAGGAAAAGATAACAGAGTATTTTGACAACTTCAAAGAGGAAGAGTAAATGAACCATTTATTTTTCAAGCTTGACACCAAAGATGGCTCAGGTAGCTCTAGAAAGTAAATTGTCTTGTCCGAGTCCTTCTGGCATTCCGAGTCCTTCCTTCCGACAGGAAAAGTCCTTCCTTCCGACAGGAAAAGTTTTTCTTTCCGACAGGAAAAGTTTTTCTTTCCGACAGGAAAAGTTTTTCTTTCCGACAGGAAAAATTTTTTCTGTTGTCCGTCCGTAAACCATTCAAATTTTCGAAAATTGAGAACTTTTTGGCCGACCTTCAGAAAAAGTTCTTCCTTCCGACAGGAAAAGTTTTTCTTTCCGACAGGAAAAGTTTTTCTTTCCGACAGGAAAAGTTTTTCTTTCCGACATTCCGAGTCCTTCCTTCCGACAGGACACAAACGGATGACTGACGTACCACCAACCGAGTCCATTCCAAAGCCAGAAGAACCGACAGCCCCAGCACCACAACAGACTAAGACTAAAACACTTACATTTTTCAAGCTTGTCTTGAAACAATTTGAACTTTGTTCGCGTAGATGTGAATTCTGAAAGAAGTATGAGGGTCTTGTATGACTTTGTACTTCTCCCATAGTTCATGTCTGTCAAACTTACCTGCCATGGACTCTTTCATAAGTTCCATGAAATCGTCTTCGGACAATCCGGGGAAAAGTACAATGTCAGTAAGTATTCTCTTTACATCCTTACTTAAACTCTTGGCTGTCTGTACACAAATGACAACTGAGATGTTAAAGTGTCTGAGCTTCTTAAGAATCCGACACATGTCTTGTTCTCTGTTCTTTAACAAAGGATGAGAAGCAAAGTCATCTAAGATAAGAAGACATCTGTGAGGGTAAGTCTTCCAATCGTAAGATTGCAATTTCTTCGAAATGTATTCTATCTCTTTCTGTTTGTTTCTGAAGTGTTTCTTCTCTAATATTCTCTGCATTTCCTCATTTGGGTCTTTAAACTTCGAGTTTATATACTCATTTATAGCATTGTACTTCAAAACTCTTCTTTGGTACTTCTTTATCCAATCTAACAACTCAGAGTCTTTTATAGATACTAACTTAGACTTTTTTATAATATCTTTGAACGAATTTACGGTTTGGTCAAATTGACCAGAGCAGTACTACAAATGACTACTAACTCATAGAATGGGTTTTCTTCTTCTAGTTCTTGTTGTTGTGCAGCCATTTTAAGATAAGTGAAAGTCTTACCCGACCCAGGTGGTGCAATTAGACCTGTTATACCATTCTGAGCAAATAAGAACTTGTCATGTATGGTTTTATCTGAGCATTTTCCAACTTCCTCTTGTTCTTATTTAAAACATTCTCAAATTTTTTGTCAATGTCAGCAAACTTTTTTTTCTAACATATTTTAGAAAAATTAAAATTTTTATCTTTTAGGAAATGTCTAGCGATTTCGCTATCTATATTCGAGACAAGCTTTTTCGACAGCAAAACATCTGTCGACCATAAAATCTTACATAGTGTAAACAAGAAAGGTGAATTTGTTCTAAAGTTCTGTTTCTGGGAATATGACAAGAACCATAAAACGTTAAGCAGAGAAGTCTTAAAATTTGTCAATGACAGACTTGTTGACAGAGATGACGCCTCTTGGAGAGATGAAGTCCAACAAAACTTCTTAGAATGCAAAGAAGACACATGCGCTGTTCTTGAAAATGAAATAGAAAACAGAATAGAAGAGCTATTAAATGACAAAGCACTTTACAAAAATATGGTTCTGAGAAGTTTGACATAACTCCACCAGAGAAGAAGAAGAGAAAAGAAAAGAAAAAAAGTAGAAGAAGAGAAGAAAGAACCTGAACCAGTTCCAGAGAAGGGAGATATGACATGTAAAAATAAAATTTTATTTTTAGAACATTTCTGGGTCAATGTCAATGTTCTCTTCCTCTTTAGGAGTAAACACTGGCTTAGACTCTAAAATCTTTTACCCAATTTACCTTGAACTTCAACTATCTTAGACTCATAATATTCATAGTCGTCTGCTTTCTTTGGTTCATAAGGTATAACAAGTTTGTATGCTTTGCCTTCTTTAAGGCTTGAAAACCTTCTGTCAAAACTTTCTTTGACTGTTAACAAACCTTCTATGTCTAAGTCTTCAAATTTCGCACCATTTTTAGTCACAATAGCAAACTTAACTGGTTCGATGTTCCAAACTTTGTCAAATGTAGACTTTTCAAAATGGTAGAAGTAAACATTCAAATATGTGAATGGGTCTAGTTCTTCTTTAAGTCCTGACATGTACTTGTTTACTGAGATGAATTTCGTCATCTTTTCTATCGGATAAAAAAATATTTTTTTTTAAAATTTACTCAGAAAAATTTTTCTTTGTATATACACCATTCTGAACATCTAAAAGACTTTTGACATTTGCCAAGAATGTTCGTTTAGACGCTGTCATATAACCATACTCTTGACAATACTGTTTATACGAATCGTACAATGACCTTTCATCTAAACACTCAAAGTCAGTTTCATCTATGAACAGTTCATATACACTCTTGTTTGCTTCTAACAATGTTTGTCTCTCTTCGGTATGTGGAATTTGTCTTGGATTGAACTTTGAAATATCTAATGTCATGAAATATGAGAACAAGTGGTTGTAAAAGTCAGATGTCAAAGTTTCTGCTAAGTCGTCAAAATATTCTGTATCTTGCATATGAGCTTCTGACGTTCTGACAACTACATATCTTCTGTCAGAACTTTCTAACTTCATCGGAACGGCGTTGTTTGAAACCATGACGAAGTTTGCAACATTTTCACAAACTCTTTGGTCTTTATATTTTCTTTCAACAACTCCAACTTTGTCTGTTATAAGACTCTTCAAAGCATCGAGTTCAAAACTTTTTGTATCTATACTTTGAAGTTCGTTACATACTATAAGTTTCATATTCTCTATTGAAGAGTTAAATTTACCGCAGATGTTTTCTAAGTTTGTCATATTCGGGTTCGAATAACCTTCTAACAGTTTTGCATAAGATATCTGTAAAGAAAGTGTTCTTACCTGTTCCTTGTTTTCCAATTATGATGAGAGCAGTTTCATTTTTAGCACTTGGATGTTGTAAGATGTTTGCAAACCAACATAAGATATACTCATAGACTCTTTCGTTTCCATTGCATATAATTTCTTTGACATGGTCTAACCAAGCTTCTATAACATTTTTTTCCATTCTACTTGTTCGTATTTATATCCAGTGAAGATAGAATAGAAGTTTGGAGATGGTGTATAGAACTTTATACCACGAACTGAAAAATCTTCAAGTTTTGACAATAAGATATCCCAAGCATCTAACATCTTCATGCCAACTTGTACAACTTTTATTTTCTTAAGTTTCTGTTTACATTCTTGTTCTGAAACTATTGTCGCTCTTGGTTTGTTAAAGACTACATCCCATTCTTTCATGACATAACATTCTGGGGCAGAGTCGACATATAATGACTAAACGTTTCAAATTCTCGACTGCTTTGTTATAGTCTCTAAATGGACACATATTTCTGAAGGCTTGGAAGTCATAAAAATCTGAAACGTCTATTCTGTACATTTTTATAAAAATAAAAAAAATATTTTTTTATTCTTGAGCTATTTGTTGTTCTTGAGCTATTTGTTGCATTTGTTGTTCTTGAGCTATTTGTTGTTGAAGTTGTTCTTGTAGTACAATACTTTCACCAGTTGCATCTTCCAATTCGAAACTTTCTGCCGTCATTGACAAATACATAGGACATAAAAGTTTTACAGGAACAAAGTTTGCGTCAACTAAGGTTAAGTTTATGTTTGCTAAAGTGTTTGAGTTTACTAAAGCTGAAAACTCTGCATTCGAATGAACAATAGGCAAACCAGCAGAGAAATGTTTTTATACGCATGAGTATCTTTTGGTCATAGTAGTTTCTGTCCACATTCGAATAGCACTTTGAACCTAAGTTTGAAACAATATATAAAATAGGTGTACTTAAAGTCAATGGAATAGATAGACCTTGTATGACACCTTTTCCTGTTATAGGAAACTGTTGTAGTAAAAACCAGATATAAGTTTTGTATTATAGCTATATCGTTTATACTAAACTCAGTCGGATCCAAACATAATGAAACCTGCTCTAGTTGCAGCACATGTTACATCCGTCCTTAAAGTATTAAATAAGTCAACAAAACCTGTTGGTGGTATGTCTGAGTAAGTATCTTCAAAGGAGTATTTTTTACCATTCACAACAACAAAGTCTTCTGGTGTCAAAAGAGCAAACAGGCTTTAGTCGTCATCGTGTTTAAGGTCAGTTTACAATATCGTCCTTGAGGGACTTTGTAAGTTTGTTGTTATAGAATTATATGACTCAGGTTTTTAGTCGTAATAGTATAAAACCACTATGTCTTCTGCCATTTACATATATTTAAAAGTTTTTCTGAAAGTGGAGAAGAACTTCATCTAAACTTTCACATGGCGTTTCTTGAAGTTCTCTGTCTAAGAAGTTCAAATATTTGTAAAGACATAGAACTTTCCTTTGTCTACACGAACAAACAAAACAGGGTCTTTCATATCGTTCAAAAGTGTGTAAAGTCCTTTACATGAAATAAAAGTCTATATTGTTTTTCTTCAAACATCTTTCAAGAAGTTTTGACATTTTACTTAGCAACTAAATTTTAATGAAATGTTGTGGTCGTCAAATATTTTTATGACGTCTGGGAAACTATATTTTAAGTTCAACGTTTCACCTCCTTTCATAACGTATATCTTGTCAATGACATTATATGAAACACCACAGCAAGCAATGTCGGGCTCTATTTCTTTGATGTTTATATCGTCTGCCTCTGTCAAAAGTTTCAATAGTTCTTTCAAAATTTCATGAGGTGCGATGACATATGAGTTCACTTTTACAGGGTTGTGCTCAACCAAGTTTAACATTATACCTAAAGCTTGACAAATCTTCTCCTGAGTTTTAAGTTTGTCTTTCAGTTGTTGGTAGTCATTTCGAATATCTGCAACAGAACTTAAGTCT